AAACTGTATCGAATCAGATATCAACTCACCCTTTGTGCTAGTCGAGGTAGGTCCTGACCCAGAAGTGTAATTTTCCAATCTAGTTACTCTACATTAACACTCACAGCCACTGTTATATATCTATAACAAGGTACATATATATACAATACACAAGTTGTGGATTTTTTCCGTATGTCAGTATCATTGTATTGATTTTTGTCGAATATCTTATAATTAAACTATAATCCATTGAGTGTAACAAAGGTGTGATATTGATAAAGATCGGACCTGAATGGCTGTTTAAAATACCGAGTTGTGCTGGTTGGTCAATTTTAAATGCGTCTCTATAACGCGTTAAATATGGGCGGCTACCAAGTGTTGACTGGAACTGTAACAAACTCGCAGTCAAATCAGATTACCAGCAAATACATACACTGACCCAACCACATGGAAACAGTAAGGCCACACTGAAAAGAAAATCAAATAATATATTCATAAACTTACCCTCGAATAGCATAAACTACAGCTATCCATCGGTTCCTTTCTTCTTACGTTCATCTTCACAGGGCGATTGACTGGTAGGTAGGACGTCAGTTTGGTAGGTCTTCGGTGTATGAGGACATTTTTCAGTATGCTAACACTATAACGTGAATGTAGAGAAGAAACTGTATGTGCTGACGTGGTAGTGTGCTAAAAATGTTGTCAATTGACAAATAAATGTGATACTTAATTTCAAACACAAAGTTATTGTTTATTTACAGCTCATTAACAATTAAAAGCCTTATACCTCGAATAAGTGTGAGAATCTAATCGTTTACAAAATGATAAATCCCCGAAACAAATGAGTGAATACGAGGGTACACATTGTTGACGTCGTTGATAATAACTGATTATGGACACTTACGTGGCGGAAGAAATGAAATAACAATTGTGTTTCAAGTTTTTGAAAGGCCGCCAATGTAATTATCTAAATGTTCCCAACAATTGAGTATTTTGGTAAACATTCGTAATTGTATAATGTATGTATCAGGTATTATCTTATTGATTACGACAACAAAATACAATAAGTAAACAATGGGACTTTACTAGTAACTTAATTAAACACGACGTTGGCTGGAAGTTACTGGTAATAACACTATCCCTATACTCGGGGTCGATAATCAACTATGGTTTGTAACAGCCTTTTGAGAAAGGGCTTAGTAACACTATAGAAAATTTACGTGTATATAACGACCACCTTCTCAACGTGGTCAGAAACTGATATCGCCAACATTATTAAAAATATTTTGCAATGCCAAAAAATATGTTATTTCTCAGTATAACTAAACACAATATGAATACTAGAAAAATAATATTTCACGACACATATACATATCGTCCACCGGTTTGCCTTTGAACTACCTTCGCAATATATTTGCATATATAATGCACAATAATTCTTACGGTAGGAATCCTTTAATCTGAACACATGACTATCCTTTTTTCAAGCAACCATTGATGCGATAGCGCTGGCACATTTAACGCATTAGCTAACTTTGTCTGCGGTAAATTTCAGAGAAAAAAATTGCCAAAACGGCAAAAATTACAGCAGATAATATAATAACACAAACATTTTTATCACGTGGCCTTATTCTCAAATCGACACTTGCATATAAATTATACGTTATCGCTAGGTCTGATATACGTGTATTGAAATGTATGATCCGTTATTGTTACTTATCTTGGGTTCTGTCAAACCAAGCAAGAACTGCTAGTCTATCCGCCGGTGTGTATACTAACCAAGCGCCTAATCTCAGGATTATCGTCCAGTGAGGTCAACATAAACACGAACATTGGTCTTACCACTGATTTCCATTTATAGTTATATAAGAAAGCAAAACTTTAATGTGTAAGTGATGTTATAAACCATTTAATGCGGATTTGATAAGGACGAGGTTGATTAATCGTCACCTACCCGGGACGGCGAGGCAGGGCAGTGTTACCAATATGAGCTTTATGGAAATGGCTGATATTTGTCGAAGATAAAGAGGCCAAATTTAAAACAAATAACCATGTGATTTTGTGAACATATTAAACTTTGGTGACTGTTTAAAATCTGATTTCCTATCTTGCATTCCCACAGTTTTACACAAACATGTCCGTCTTTTCTCGGAGATTTAAAGTTACAATGATATTTCCACACGATAATTCAGAATAACACAATGGTATACATGCAAGTACGAATCCCAAGACCTATATACGTGTACTTCACATGTATTTAACAGTCCAGACGGATCAAACTCGTGGGATCAAACTCCGATTCCTCCTGAAGATCAAACACATGCCCTTTTTAGACCACACAAGGCTCTTTATTTGGATCACAGATAAAATATCTCAAATCCCACACATTTCAAATGCGAGACATAAAACTGCTAGTAATTTTCAAATACAAAATTCAATGTGTTTCACACTATCTGTAGTTATATATTCAAATAAAATCCCACAACATAGTTTTACATACATATAAATATTACATGACCACAAACAAGTTTACATTATCAATACTACGAGATCTAGAGATTGTATTACATCAAAAAGTCTTTAGATCAGATAATAGTACCCACAACACAATACAATGAAATGATTGTATTTCGACACCATTATTACGAGTTCCGATGAAAGAACTTTACCTCCGATATTACGAGAGCAAATTAAAATATTACATTTCCATTGTAACAAGAGATAATTGAAGTATTACACTTTCTATATCACGAGAGCAAACTGAAGTATTATTACACTTCCTATATCACGGGAGCAAACTGAAGTATTACACTTCCTATATCACGGGAGCAAACTGAAGTATTACACTTCCTATATCACAGGAGCAAACTGAAGTATTACACACCCAATATCAAGGGAGCAAACTTAAGTATTACACTTCCTATACAACGACGGCAAACTGAAGTATTACACTTTCTATATCACGAGAGCAAACTGAAGTATTATTACACTTCCTATATCACGGGAGCAAACTGAAGTATTACACTTCCTATATCACGGGAGCAAACTGAAGTATTACACACCCAATATCAAGGGAGCAAACTTAAGTATTACACTTCCTATACAACGACGGCAAACTGAAGTATTACACTTCCTATATCACGAGAGCAAACTGAAGTATTACACACCCAATATCAAGGGAGCAAACTTAAGTATTACACTTCCTATACAACGACGGCAAACTTAAGTATTACACTTCCTATATCACGGGAGCAAACTGAAGTATTACACTTCCTATATCACGGGAGCAAACTGAAGTATTACACTTCCTATATTACGAGAGCAAACTGAAGTATTACACTTCCTATATCACGGGAGCAAACTGAAGTATTACACTTCCTATATTACGAGAGCAAACTGAAGTATTACACTTCCTATACCACGACGGCAAACTGAAGTATTACACTTCCTATATCACGAGAGCAAACTGAAGTATTACACACCCAATATCAAGGGAGCAAACTGAAGTATTACACTTCCTATACCACGACGGCAAACTGAAGTATTACACTTCCTATACCACGACGGCAAACTGAAGTATTACACTTCCTATATTACGAGAGCAAACTGAAGTATTACACTTCCTATATCACGTGATTACATCTATAATGTCGTATGGATTTATTACACCACTAATCTCACGTTATTTGATAATTTATTACACTGCTAATTTCACGTGATCAAATAATGGTATTACACTACTAATCTCACGTGATCAAATAGTAGTATTACACCACTAATCTCACGTGATCTGATAATTATTACACTGTTAATCTCACGTGATCAAATAACGGTATTACACTACTAATCTCACATGATCAAATATTAGTATTACACCACTAATCTCACGTGATCTGATAATTTATTACACTACTATTCCCACGTGATCAAATATTAGTATTACACTAGGCGATAGTGATACGCCGCCAATGTCACGTACAAGTCGACAGTGGTTAAGTAATCAAATAATCTCACGCCCATGTATCTCAATATTATCTCAACAGCTTCAGTAAACAAGTTGATGTCAAGAGAACATACGAGCGTCACGTGATATCACCAGCCTTAGTGATTTATATGTCATGACAACGCGACAGTGTCACATGGTCTGACCAGCTAAAGTGAAGAAACTGACGTCAAGGTAACACACCAGCGCCAGCGACGTCAGTAAGCTGACGTCAAGGTAACACACCAGCGCCAGCGATGTCAGTAAGCTGACGTCAGAAGGATAGTCATTCTCTTGGTCTTAATAAGTTGACGTCAAGAAAAGTCAGCTGGCATCATTTCATAATTCAGTTCAGTGCCTCATCATACAGCATAAAACAATTATACTCGAGCATGATTATCCAGCAGACTTTAATGTCAGTAAACAAATATTATCACAAAACCAGTCAATACGATATATTTGCATGTGTCACTGGTGTCATATACCATAGAACGTTTTATATTGGCTTGCGCTGGCCAGAAATTGATTGCGATATCATAATACGGACAGGGGTATTAGTCATCAACTGAAAATGGCGCAACAAAATGGCTACCTCCATTTGATCATGTCCTCCACACGTGTGACGTTCATTTTAAACATGAACTGTTCTGAGTAATGTGATAAAGAAAAAGCATAGTTTAGAAACTCACTTCAAAGTTTAAGTTTTTTCTCACCAAGCAAAAATAAAAACCAAGACTTTTTAAATAAAATCACATATGAAATAAAACCTTATTTAAGATTCTTTACATGTATGTCTGTCAAACATTTCAAAATATACGATATAGCAAAAGAATAACTACCAGAGCATTGTTTTCATGGAAACCTTGACACTGTAAAGCAGCATTAAATGCAAGGAAATCACAACATACTTAAAACTGAAAATGAGGTAACATTATTTATTACAAGTCTGGTAGGTTCAGCTAACCACTTAAAGCATTATGGGTGTATGGACAGAGGCTGTACTGTCTTGTAGTGTGATAAAAAGAAAAGAAAACAAACATTCTGCACATCTTCTTTCTGTTTTAATACATTTGGAGACTAAAACTTTGTAAAATGAATATATTACACACACTGATATCCTCAGTCTTACTTCTGGTACCCTATTGTACTGTTGGTAGGTATTCAGTAGGAAAACAGGAACAGACCCCCAACTAGTGACGGGCATTATCATCAATAAAATCTCATGTACACAAATATTTCATTAGCTGATACATACTATATAACATACATTTCAATTCCGGTAGGTCTAAAGGACAGCCCTTTCTACCTTCCTCCCCAAAGACATGAGACCAGTGTCTGAATCAATCACCAGGCCTTAAATTTAAGGCTTTTTACTGGCTATTTGCAAGTAGAAATCCAAGAATTGCAAGTAGAAAAATTAATGACTTGCTTTTTTCAGCAAGTGGATTCATCAGATGCAAACTGTGAGTGCCTGTCTATTCCTAACATTTCACAGAATTAAATTGTTTTGAGTTTTGATTTTCAAAGTGTAAATATTTGGAAAAAGCAGTTCCTCTATAATGTTGATATATATTGGATGAAGCAGCAACTGACCAAAAATGTTAAATTCTAGGCCTGATCACTGGAAATGGAATGCCTTTATTTGTCATTGAACTTCAGAGATCTACTTGATAATACACCTGCAGTTTTGCAATGTCCTGATCACATACATGTGTATCAATTCATATTAACATTCAAAATTTTAAGTCCGAGATATAGTCACAGTATATCAATACATACAACAGTATACCCAGTCAAAAAGCATTAAATATAGCCTAAATTCTTCTATCTCAGACATAAACAAGGGTTGAAAAGTTTTCAATCAAATAACAAAATAAATACAGAAACAAAAACAGCACTAAATGTCCATTTAGATCGCACCCTCCTACAGAACATTATATACACAGGAGATTACAATACATAGAACAAGTTCCATGGAATTCATAGAGGATTCCAACACCATATAGCACTTTGTAACTTCATAAGTGGCAAAACGCATTCCCAATCGTTTTAACTCACCCATGATTATCTCCCTTTGTTTACCTTATTGCATCTTGATTTCATTGTCACAGTGAGTACTGTATATAGATATGCAGTAAAAAGTTGTGAAGTTTTAGTGTTCTTATACAGCTATCTGATTTTACAGCCAAACGCTAAAATTTGCAGATATTCCCACAAATATTGGAACAGTTCATAAAATCCTATCATGATATGATTGTGTTTTACATCATCCACTTGTTACTTTGAGGGTGCAGTTGTCATAGGATCACAACCACGTACTGTATAATCTGCTGGGGGTTGGTAATAAATCTGATTGTACAGAAAATCTGCAGAAATTTCTGTGTCACTTTTTGCAATCTCTGCTGCTTCTTCCACTTCCTTGCGAACCTCAGTATCTATTTTCTGTAAAAGCAACAGAGCAAAAAAAATCAAGGCATCGGTTTCCTTGTACAAATGGTTAATTTGTTTGGTCTTTAACACCGATTTGTTTCTCAGGTTAATTTACTGGTGTTGAAAATTTTTCGGCACTGACAATCTGAATATTTTTAAACATCACTTATGGAGATAAATTATGCTGATATATATTTATACATATGCTTCCTACCTAAATGATGGATTTGTTAACATACATACCTTGAGTTCTTCAGCAGTAGCCAGATTAGATGACAGTAACTTTTCCTTGAATGTGGTGATGGGGTCTTTCTTCTCACGTACTTTCTTCACCTCCTCTCGACTGCGGTAGCTGTGATGACAAATTTATATAGTATGACCATATCTGTCCATAATTATGTCTTGAGCATCTGTCACATTTTAGAGATGACCATATTATCATACCTTGCTTATGATGATGTGACTAATTCTGTCACAGTGTACTTATGATCATATGACTATATTTGTCATATCTTTTATTGCATTTAGCCCCAGTATTGATTGTCAAAAACAGCTTACATGAGATAAAGAGATAAAAAGATGAACAGAGAAACTTTCATTAAATTCAATACAGAACATCAAATTTCAATTTTTTCTTTTTTGCTAAATTAGCTCTTGTCACTATCCTTAAAAGTCTGAGCAGAACCTTTTCCGTAAATCACACTGTCCCAAGACTGACCTTGTACCAGGGTCACTCATACTGTGACCACCGTATCTATATGTGGCTACTTCCAGAAGGATTGGGCCGTTCTTCAGGGCATAGTCTTTACAGAATATCATAGCCTCGCGTACCGCTAGTACATCCATACCGTCACACTGAGTTTCACAAAAAGAAAAAAAAACTCAATATATTGCAAACGACATCCTCTTAATTTTACTTTGGTTAAATCAGTAATGTATCCAGATTGAATATATGACAATACATGTATTTACAAACAACAGTGACTGTGTAAGAATCAAATGTTAACATGGAGTTCAAATTGAATGGTAACAAAATCAATATTTCTTATCAGGATTAATAAACGTGACCAAAAGATTAGTCTCTTCTTAAACAATAATAAGTTCAGTAGAGTTATTTCCCTTGAAGCCAAATACACAGTAATGGCTATATCAGAAAGTTATTTCCCTTGTTTACTAGTAAATGTCATAGGACAACAATATTGATGAGATGAATACAGGCTCTTTAGTGCTTGACTTTCACTAATCTCACCAACACACCTACCTTTATGCCCGGTACATAATCACCTCGGGTGTAGTAATCAATACAAGCTGAGGCTCGTTCAGCACTGGTACCCATGCCATAGCCGTTATTCTCACATACAAATACACAAGGCAGGTTCCACAACTTCGCCATGTTAAATGTCTCAAACAGCTGTCCTTGATTGGCTGCTCCGTCTCCATACAAGGTCACACATATGTTCTTCTGCTTACGATACTTCATGGCAAAAGCGATCCCAGCACCCAGTGGCACCTATATATCAGACAGGAAGATTAGTCTAAAGTTAAAGACTTGGGTTTACAAACTTCTATTATCAAGGCTTATAGTACTTCAAGGCCAAGGCAATTCCAGCACCCAGTGGCACCTATATATCAGACAGGAAGCCTAAATCTAGTGACTGGGATTTACAGACATCTTCTATCCAGGCTTTTTCTAATATACACCAGGAGGAAGTACACGAGCCTCAACATCTTACATTGTACATCTGATGTTTATTTTAATAATTGACATTTTGTTCTTAAAAGTCAGATACACAGTTGTCCTCAATCATATATAAGTTCTTATCAATGACATATACATGTATTATTTAACATACTTGACCGGTGTAATCTTGAGTCTTAACAGACAATGCTTTTGACAAGTGATCCAATGATGATTAAGAAACAGAAATTGGCAGTTTAATCATCCATGAAAAGTATCTCATTAACAAGAAATTCTCTGTACTGACTAAAAATACCTGAACCTAGATGCTTTTTATGGGTATACCTGCTGGTAATGGTTATGAGGAACTTTTATTTTACACTTGACACTTGCTACCCATGTGGTAATTTGTTCAAAACAAGATCGACAACAATGAAAACATTATCTCTATATTATTGACAGTGCAACTATGGAATGCTACACAGTTTGGTGGATAAAAACCTATATTCCCTTCAATACTACCAGTGGGGGAATTGGAAATACCCAAACATCATGGAAGTTTGCATATACATACATATTTGCATATATCGACAATGGTAGTATAAGGATTATAATTGCAAAGGAATGACAGCATTTTGGAAAAGAATAAAAGTTTATACATAATCTGTGTCAACAGGTATTCTCACCTGAGCACCGACGATTCCATTCCCTCCGTAGAAGTTTTTACTGTACATGTGCATTGAACCTCCTTTACCTAACGAACAGCCAGATTTCTTGCCTGGAACATAAAGTAAAGAATGGAAATTTTAAGAATCATGTACTGATAACATGTTAATTGCAAGAAATAACATTTCAATCAATTTAACAGTGTTTTTAAAAGACTTTGTGGGCCTAAAGTTTTAATAAGTAAATAAATAAATCCTTCAATTTATGCATAGGTCTCTTTCAGCACTAAATCATAATATTATTCCACATGACATACACCAATTAATATATTTGAACAAATCATTAATCTGTAATCCAAACTAATCACAAAGTTAAAATAAAATTTCTGAAAAACAGAAAGAAATGAATTCAAGAAATAGACATGAAACAGAATACCAGGTATGTAATGTAAAGGAGCACTCTACACTGATTCATATACACCCAATTAGCTGTAGAGACCACCATTTACCAGCCAATAAATCAGATTTTTAATGTATTCATTAAACTACCCAAAGCCACACTTTTACAATGTAAATAATGATATAACATACAATAAGATTTAACAACAAGCTATAGTTTCCCTAGCTATTCTCAAGCTACATCTGTATGTAACCTGCTAAAGGTAAAGGGATAGCAAAACAGCTGTAATACTGTTACAATTATAAATATTGTAAACACATACAGTTCACATTTTAGCGGTAATCTGATTCTAGTGCTTTTCCCACTGAAAGTATTGCACTAAAATATTATTGTGCTAATAGCAGTTTCTATACACTGCTTATATGGCAATCATTTATGATGCACATATTCATCATTGTGCTAATTTTTCATATGCATGAACAGGAGTGCTGTCACTAGGAACATTGGTCTGGTTAACAAGACAACTGGATCAGAAATTGAGGAATGCCAATTATACAGACTTTACCCTATACTTGATGACCTACCAGTGAGCTCGGCCAGAACTCCCAGTATAGGGACACCACGAATGTATGTCCAGCCGTGAGCTCTGTATGCTGTAATCACTGCATCATCAGGGGTAATAGCTGCTTCCATACCAACACAGCAGGCTTCCTGTAACAAATTTCTTCATTTTAGGTAGGGTAAAACGATAATCAACAACTCAAAGAAAAAAACCAGGTACTCTACTGGAAACAGAACTCATAACAAAACAGGTACTTTACTGGTGGCAAGAGTATTGATGTGTCATAGCGCAATGGATTGTTATGTGGGCGGCTGTAAGCACTATGCAATAGAATTACTTCCATTTCCTGTTGTAAATTCCAGCTGTCATTATTTCAAGCTGTAACTTCTGACATAGAAAAAGAATAATAATTAAAATATGTAGTCCTTTCCAGGATAAAGGTAAAAGTTGCTTAAATACCTGTCCAAGGTTGAGGTGAAATTTGTTTATATCTGTCCAGGGTAGACTTGAAATCTATTTATATCTGTCCAAGGTATATGTGAAATTTGTTTATACCAGTCCAGGGTAGAGGTGAAATTGGTTTTAATCTGTCCAGGGTAAAAAGACATATGTTTATACCTGTCCAGAGTACAGATGACAAAAGCCACGGATTTGTTTGGCTTTGTACATGTTGCCAGCTGTTGTCTCCATCCTCCTAATGGTCTGCATGTCTCGGTAAAACTTGATGCATTCTTCCCTGCTGGCAGACACTTCAGTAGAGGGACCCATGTCAAGTCTGTGCAGGTCAAAATCCTGTAACATTGAGTTGGTGAGTAGTTCAATATCATTGTAGATGTGTAAACAACTAGTTATTAGTTAAAAGCAATGTTCCTGTAGCAATTGTTTTGGAAGGTCTGTGCCCATAGATGAAACATACTAATGTTAACAAAAAATGTTACTGGTATATACATAGTTCTGTATTTCAGATTTACTTACAGAATGTGAAGAGATGCAATATTCATTGTTTACAGATAGATTGATAAATTATTGTCCCAAACTTAAAAGGTGTTTGATTTATAACTTATAAAAAACTTTGCTTGCTGTAAATGGTTGGTTGGTTGGTTGGTTAGTCACATGGTTGATTGGTTGGTTTGTAAAAACATGCGAGACTAACCTGTGTTGTGAACGTTGAATTAGCAACTGTTGAGTATTTGCCATTGCACAGGGCTGCACCACACTTCCACTGCAAAACAAATTACAAGAATTTTGTGTAACTTTCAATCATGGAAATCATATCATTATTTTCCCCTTCAATAGAAAGTAATCTACACTCTATATATCAGGAGGTTAAATCAGCACTTTTCAATATGTCTATGGGATTTTATTTCATTTCTAAAGGTACCAGAACATCACTTATGTATCTGTTTCAACAGTTTCACATATATCAAAAGAGAGTTTGCATTTGTGCCTCTTGTCACATTTAAAGCATGTAATATACAGACTGATAATGATTCTTTAACCATACTATGAGTTTGATATCCTACTCGTTATGTGTTCTTTCTATTACAGAAACCCATTAATGACTCAATATTTTAAGGAGTGATTAATTTATCTCTATTACTATCTTTTCTACAGTGCTGGTCACTGAGTAAACATAGGTTTAGTTTTGATGGATACAGAAGATGACATCTACATCACAGAATCATTTCATAAGCAGATTAAACACAAAGCAACATAAAAGTCAAACTAATTTTGCAAAATACCACTGGTAGGCATAATATGGGAAATATAACAGAGAATAATGTCGGTAATGTAATAAATTATCATTCAAAAATTGAGAAAAAAACACACAGTCACATGCACTACAGAATGCACAGAATATTTCCACCATAACACAAGATTTCATCATCTTATTGAGATCAGAGTAGAGCAAAATTGGTTGAGCAATACAAAAATATAAAATTTATAGTTGTGAATATAATGTTGAACTATTTTAGAACAGCTGAATCAAATGTAGCTGGATTATGATATACTTATCTTAACAGATAATTTGTGATATTCTTATTAAGGCATACTGTCTGTTAATGGGTTACAAATGTTGTACTTTATTAATAACTTAATACATTTTTTGATGATCATGTATTTGTCAGTTTAATCTTAAAGCTGGGACAATTTCATAATATATTCATACCAGGCAATAATCAAATTACTGATAAATATGTTCAAAGGTTGTGTCAAATTTAAGGACCTCCCATTTTGGTTGATATAGTTATGTCATTCATTGACTTTAGAACATCAGAATAACTCAGGCTACAGAAGTCTGTTACTGATAAATTTAAAATGTCTCATTAGCTGTATATAATATTTCCTGTATACTGACAGTTCTCAGACTGAAGCACAATACAACAGCATTCTTGAGTTACCAACAAATTGGTTTCATGTGGCTTGATTATTTCAATTTCTTCGTCTCATTAGATAACCGAATTTAAGCAGATACATAATTTGTAAATAAATCTTACATACTGTAAAACAACAACAGAGTGTGACATTACCACTGCGTATAAAGGAACACAAATGGTAGTGGCTTAAACAGAAGATAGGTTTACATATACAACATCCAGATAATAAACGTGTGTGAAATTCTCACAATCCGTTGTATCAGGGAGATCGTTTTATTTCTCATTCCTATATTCGTTTGGGTCAATGTTGACATGTTCCGATCTACATCTGGCCCAATTGCCTGTTGAGTTTTAAGTGTCTGATCACCCTTTGTACGTTTAATGATGTGACTGGTCAGGAGAGAGTAATTCATATAATTGACAGATCCCCCATGTGTCACAAACTGTCTGTATCTTCCCTGAAATTGACAATATCATACAACATACGACAGTCATATCCAGCTAATAAAAACCGTTGAAAACATTTCATTATTTAAATATAAAACATCATACAGATGGATGATGCGAGAATGTAATAACAGACCAGTCGGCATACTTCCTAGTATTTCAAAAATTTTTGAAAAAATTCTGCATGATCAGCTGCCAACATTTTTTAACAACATATTTCATCCCTTCTAGTGGTCTATAAGACCGGTTTTGGGTGCCAGACCATCCTGCTGCACATGATGGAGGACTGGCAACAGGCCTTGAATGGTCACAACTATGTTGGGGCCATTCTTATAGATCTTTCCAAGGCCTTCGACTGTCTTCCTCATGACCTGTTGCTCAGGAAGCTCTCATATTATGGGGTATCAACTGAGGCTGTTAGTCTCATGAGTAGCTACCTAGGAAACAGGATAGGAGGCAACACCAGTGAGTGGATAGCTCTCATCGAAGGGGTACCCCAGGGATTGATCCTTAGGCCGCTTATTTTCAATATATTTATTCATGATATCTTTTACTGTATTAAGGAAGCTACTTTGTACAATTATGCTGATGATAACGCTCTGGGCTATTTTAACAAAAGTATTGAAAGTCTGAAAGAGGTGTTAGAGAGAGGCAGCATTACTGATAGAATGGTTTGAAATGAATGACATGAAAGCGAACCCAGAAAAAATTCAGTCAATATGTTAAGGAAAGAAAGCCCTCCATTACTTCACAATAGGCAATTCCACCATAGTTTGTGAAGATAGCGTTAAACTTTTTGGTGTTGAGATAGATTTTTATTGAAGTTTGATAAACATATCTCTTTTATTTGTAGACAAGTCTCCAAACAGTTAGTAGTTTTGAAGAGGATTGGACTTTTCTTATCTAAATCTGTTAAAATGTTAATTTACAAGAGTTTTGTATTGTCAAATTTTAATTACTGTCCTCTTGTTTGGCATTTCCACAGCGTCTCGGCAACCAGGAAAATGGAAAAGGTGCAAGAAAGGGGTTTGCGCTTTGTTTTTAATGATGATACCTCTGACCTCAAAAATACTGCTAATAGATGCTAATACTTCTTTCCTGCATGTTAATAGGATGAAGTTGATGGCTTGTGAAGTTTTTAAAAATTTTTAACAAGATTTCTCCTGACTACATTTGCAGTCTGATATCTAAACAAGAAACTTTGTATACTTTCAGGGCAGAGGGTAAGGCACACATCCCAACTGTAAACACCACCAGGTATGGAAAGAATTCCTTCTGGTACGAGGCGTCCCGCATATGGAACAGTCTGCAGAATGGTCTGCGTAAGGTAGAGAACTACAAAGAATTCAGGAGACTGCTCCGTATGAGGTATGGCCCAGACTGTAAGTGTTCTGTGTGTGCTCATATGTGAGTGTCCTCCCTTTGTTCAGTGGTGTTGCTACCTCTGTGCTTTTGTCTTCTATTTTCATTTTTGTGTTTTTATTTTAAGTGCTTTTGCTTATTTTGTTTGTCTTCTTGCTTTGGTTTATAATCTGCTGTCTTATCTATTTACTATTTACAATATTGACATTGACAAAATGTTCTCTTTTAATTTGTACTTTATTAGTAGGCTTCTAAGTATCATAGTCTGTCAATTTTTTTTTATTTTTTGCTATATTAGCATATATGTATATTACATTTTCATTAAAGTGTTTTACTTCTTTTGCATCAAGAAATACATGTGTATGCCTGATATGCAGGTGTTCAATCTTAGCCTATTTAGTCTTATCTGATTACATAATTTCTATGATATATAAAATGTGATAACTTCTTTTTTGTTTATAATATGTGTATAAATTGCTATTGACTGTGATACATATCCTCTGCTGCTTGTTGCTAATATTATGTTGCATGTTATTTTGTTTTGTATTATGTTATGTCGAAGTACAAATTCACCAGAGCTTATGTTTACTGTTTGTAATATTCGACGTGAAATAAAGTTTCTTGTATCTTCAGAATACGAGTCTTCCATCTATCAACAAAACCTATTTTCAAGTTTACAAAATTCGTGTGCAATCTACAACGATATAAATTATACTGATCGGGGCACCAAATTAAACTGAAGCAAAGAAATAACAGAGAAAAGTTTTCTTACTGCTTTGGAAACCGCTGACGAGGAAAGGCTCCCCAACTTTCTTAACGGTAGCATGTTTCGTTTTGTAAAGGTCAAAACACTGAAAGGAAGTTGGGATGTAGAAATGGGGAGATAACTCTCGATCACAGCATTTATGCAGGTGTCACTCACTCAACAAAAAAAGGCCAACATTATTTCTCTTGTAAGATAACATTTGTGTTTCAGTAAGCCACCAATGAAATGATTTATGGAGACTACATCAGACTATCACTAAGGTAATACTCAATGGTTGGAAACTGAACTTTTTCCAAACGATCATGTTAAGGTATGACCGATGTTAATACACGACTACTCCGCGGATTCGAACAGATAAAAAGTGACTTAGCGTTTTTGTTAATTTGATGTAAACTTACTAATTGTCATATTTAGAACAAGGTGGAGGCACAAGTTTTTTTCAACTTAACTGCGTATTCTCTAAATATACATTTACGTATAGAAAACAGCTAGTACCATAAAAACATATCTATGATAATTCTGATTTAATCAAAATCTGTTTCTAGATTTAATGAAGGGTTGCTCGTCTCAAGATATGATAAGATGAGAATTTTGAAAATAGGATAATGACTAGATCTAATGATGGTATTCGGAACGAACGTCACTATGATCATTAAGACATTCCAACTCTAAAGAGTAGAAGGTATAAAAGACGATCTGGTAAGGGAGAGCCTAAAGTGAGGAATCCTGAATTTATCATTGTTACCTAGTGTAACGATTATTCACTCAACATTAACAGATGACAGTAAAAGATGTAAGAATCCAGACGTTAAATTGTCATTTACCTGATAAAGGTACAATTTTCTTCGTATTCTGCAGTTAGAGAGAGTTTTCAGACCTGAAATTTGCAGATTCACATCTGCGCCTTCTCTAACGTTTCAGATTCAAAACTGCACATTCACTAACTTTTTAGATTCAAATTTACGCATTCACTAACTTTTTAGAGTAAAATTTGCGCATTCACTAACTTTTTAGATTAAAATCTGCGCATTCACTTACTTTTAATATTCAAATCTTCGCCTTCTCTAAGTTTTCAGATTACACTATCCCGTATTCGAGGATTGGTAAAAAGAACTTTTTATTTCCTTTAAGTCCCAAACTTGATAGCATGAAAACACTTCACTGATATTTATCGCCAAGTAAGTATAGGCTAGGGAGAGAAATTGAGGCAAAGTGAAGGATACTTCAATGACCGAACGAGGTAAATCTTAAAAATAAAACAAAGAAGACTTGTCGGAGAAAAACTATGTCCTAAACGGTAAGCCATTCATGAAAGCTAAGAACATGTTTTAACAATACACCAAAGGTGTATTTGAACAAATGTAGTACAATCAAGTGAAAGGCCATTAGGAATGCATGTGCCAATTAAGAAGGAATTTTCTAAAAGAGTATAAGATATTGATTGGAATGGAGACTATGGGACATACTCGACAAATTAAGGAAAGCGGAATGCATATATTTAAGTACATCAGACGAAGCGGGGCACTTGTTATGGTTTGCCTAGTTTCTTCAGTTCTGTTATCAACTTAATAAAAGTCCCATAGCTGTGGTCGGATTTCGACCAATATCGAGCTCATCAAATATCATACTGATACAAAGCAAAGCGCAAAATTTGGTTTATACTTGGCTATGATAAAAATATAGTTAATTGACGGAAACGAAGAAATAATTCACTGTAAGGAGCTTAAAGTCCCATAACTGGCAGTTATTGACGGATTTTGACCGATATGTTATTATTACATTATTAGCGGCCCGTCCACCGGTATTGACCGATATGAAAATACCCGAGGCCTTATTGATTTATAGAAATATACCAAATTTCGTTAAAATCGGACTAAGGAAAACAGCAAAACGGCGGAGGGGGACATTCAAAGTGACACACTAGTTATTCTCTCATCTAAAAAGAAAAAACACCTTACATTTAGGTTCTATTTAAACAGATCAGATATACCGTATGAGATAGTGTGATGGATCTAAATGCTAAAGTTGTCTTATAACTTACTTCACGTACCAAAATATATCTAAGATAGAAACGTCAACCCAAATCGTTAGATAACTGATTATAGAGTACACGTTCGTGTCTGTTGCTTGGCAAGGTCTTTGTTATCAGTAAGCTATTCGATAATCACAGAAGAGGGACTCAAACTAGAAATTAAATCAAAATGTCGCGACCTTATTTTGGTTTTAAAGACATACCGTCTTGTAAGGTTATCAATCATAGATACGTACTTTTATCGTCGTCCGCTTTTCTCGGAAAAGTAAGTTCTCATAATACGAGAATGGAATTATCTGCGACATTGAAAATAACTGCATATGAAAATAAAAATTTTCACAGAACAAAAAAAACATGTGTTACAGAAGCTGATATTTTTGATTAATCAAAAACTGTAACACTTTTAAGTTTTTATCAATTAATATTTGATTAATTCCATTTCTTTACCATATTGTATCACAGAAAGATCAATTACCATGATTTAGTTGCCAAGCCGGGAATCACACACATATAATCATTACGGATAACTACAAGAAATACAGATATTAAGTCTAACTATTCCAAGTGCCACCGTGTAATAAACACTAAGTAGTAACAACTAACAGGTCTATATTACTACTTTTCCCAAGTTGAATTAGTAATTAAAAAAACATAAACTTTACTCTAATCGATACAAGTGACCATTCATTTGATATACGTTTGCATGTGCAAGACTATATAAAAAATCTGGTAGTTTTCAATGACATTATCTAATGTAACAATTTAACGATGGTATCTGTCGGATACTATTCATGTAACTTAGATTCTAAAATGTAACAACACGTACATGTAATACAAACTGTGGGTACTGGTATAACCAATGGTATAACCAATGTTACGATTATTGTATAGTCAATCTGTGGGTACTGGTATAACCAATGGTATAACCAATGTTACGATTATTGTATAGTCTGTCTGTGGGTACTGGTAGAACCAATGGTATAACCAATGGTATAAACAATGTTACGATTATTGTATAGTCAATCTGTGGGTACTGGTAGAACCAATGGTATAAACAATGTTACGATTATTGTATAGTCAATCTGTGGGTACTGGTAGAACCAATGGTATAACCAATGTTACGATTATTGTATAGTCAATCTGTGGGTACTGGTAGAACCAATGGTATAACCAATGTTACGATTATTGTATAGTCAGTCTGTGGGTACTGGTATAACCAATGGTATAAACAATGTTACGATTATTGTATAGTCAATCTGTGGGTACTGGTAGAACCAATGGTATAAACAATGTTATGATTATTGTATAGTCAGTCTGTGGGTACTGGTAGAACCAATGGTATAACCAATGGTATAACCAATGTTACGATTATTGTATAGTCAATCTGTGGGTACTGGTATAACCAGTGGTATAAACAATGTTATGATTATTGTGTAGTCAATCTGTGGGTACTGGTAGAACCAATGGTATAAACAATGTTACGATTATTGTATAGTCAATCTGTGGGTACTGGTAGAACCAATGGTATAAACAATGTTACGATTATTGTATAGTCAATCTGTGGGTACTGGTAGAACCAATGGTATAAACAATGTTACGATTATTGTATAGTCAATCTGTGGGTACTGGTAGAACCAATGGTATAAACAATGTTATGATTATTGTATAGTCAGTCTGTGGGTACTGGTAGAACCAATGGTATAACCAATGGTATAACCAATGTTACGATTATTGTATAGTCAATCTGTGGGTACTGGTATAACCAGTGGTATAAACAATGTTATGATTATTGTGTAGTCAATCTGTGGGTACTGGTAGAACCAATGGTATAAACAATGTTACGATTATTGTATAGTCAATCTGTGGGTACTGGTAGAACCAATGGTATAAACAATGTTACGATTATTGTATAGTCAATCTGTGGGTACTGGTAGAACCAATGGTATAAACAATGTTACGATTATTGTATAGTCAATCTGTGGGTACTGGTAGAACCAATGGTATAAACAATGTTATGATTATTGTATAGTCAGTCTGTGGGTACTGGTAGAACCAATGGTATAACCAATGGTATAACCAATGTTACGATTATTGTATAGTCAATCTGTGGGTACTGGTATAACCAGTGGTATAAACAATGTTATGATTATTGTGTAGTCAATCTGTGGGTACTGGTAGAACCAATGGTATAAACAATGTTACGATTATTGTATAGTCAATCTGTGGGTACTGGTAGAACCAATGGTATAAACAATGTTATGATTATTGTATAGTCAATCTGTGGGTACTGGTAGAACCAATGGTATAAACAATGTTATGATTATTGTATAGTCAATCCGCGGGTACTGGTAGAACCAATGGTATAACCAATGTTACGATTATTGTATAGTCAATCTGTGGGTACTGGTAGAACCAATGGTATAAACAATGTTACGATTATTGTATAGTCAATCTGTGGGTACTGGTATAACCAATGGTATAAACAATGTTACGATTATTGTATAGACAATCTGTGGGTACTGGTAGAACCAATGGTATAACCAATGTTACGATTATTGTATAGTCAGTCTGTGGGTACTGGTATAACCAATGGTATAAACAATGTTACGATTATTGTATAGTCAATCTGTGGGTACTGGTAGAACCAATGGTATAAACAATGTTACGATTATTGTATAGTCAATCTGTGGGTACTGGTAGAACCAATGATATAAACAATGTTATGATTATTGTATAGTCAATCTGTGGGTGCTGGTAGAACCAGTGGTATAAACAATGTTATGATTATTGTATAGTCAATCTGTGGGTACTGGTAGAACCAATGGTATAAACAATGTTACGATTATTGTATAGTCAATCTTATCAATGTTCCTTTTCTTTTGCTTAATGATAATAATGATAGTAATAATATACTGGACATAGGTTTATTAAGCCTATATATCCAGATCAGAGTTAAAAAGAATTAGTATTCCGAATACGGATCAGTATGTTATTGTCTAGTTCATTATTATAAACACATTCAGTTTGCCTCCAATGTTTATCCAATCGGGATTTAAAGTTTTGATTGTTTGTGACGTTACAACGGCATTAGGAAGTGAATTCCAGTGGTTTACCACCCGTTCACAGAAAGAATACTTCCTCAGATTTAATCTGCTCCTTCTATTTGATAGTGGAATACTTAGCCCTCTTGTTATCTTGTTATTGTTTTGTATAAGGAAATCCTCCGCGACAGCCCTATCATATCCTCCCTGTGTTAGTTTGTATACTTGAATCATATCTCCTCTCAATCTTCTGGGCCTCAGTGTTGGTAATTTAAGGCTCCTTAGCCAACTTTCATAGCTAAGGTTTTTCATTCTCGGTAATTGTTTCGTTGCTCGTCTTTGCACATTTTCAATGAGAATTTAGATGTAAAATTAAGGTACCAGATCCTATATTAGGCACTAACTTTCAAGAATGAAATCGGTTACAGAAACAGTATAAGATACTCGTATTTTCTAATAAAATGCACTGACTAAAGAAAGTTCGGTCTATTGGTGTAAATATCAACTCTGGTGATTGATATATTAATACTGAACAGATTTTAAAACCATACAAATATGAGGTTCTCATACATACATTCCATTGATTTCTGTTGTGCATGAGTGATAACTTTTTGTTATTAGAATGCAGAACGTCCCCTTATTGAAATTCCTTTACATATCTATAGTATTATAATGAAGATTTCAATATGGTCTATATATACATACACTTTTAACAGAAGTTATTTAAAGTATCTGTTGTTAATGTGTAAAAATAGGATCAATTGTCTAATGTTTTACTGGTCATCTTCAGACAGACTATACAAAACAATTATGACATTTTGATGTTTATAATTTGAATAATAAGGATAAAAAGGGAGGAATCACAAAAATTTATAAAATAATACCGTAATTTGATATTAAAACAATTGAAGCCCAATATATCAGGGCTCCAGATGTTACCTGTATACATACCCGCATCGTTTATAAAGAATGGCGCTGTTCATTGATGATAATATACAGTTACATTTATTGAGCAATAAACGACACGCATATCTATAATCAATATAGCTCATACAAAACCATTATGGTAAAGAATTTAAAAAAAAAATCAATGGATATATTGAATGTTGATATTTTCGTCACGTGACGGGCCGTCAGTGTTAGCTACAACAGGAAGTATTCTATACGTGTATATATTTGTGTGTATGTATATATATGTCTGTGTGTTTGACACGGGTTTATTGCATTAGCCGCACAGTATCGGAGCTAGAGGCTAGTGTATATAAGTAAAAGCACGAATAGATATAGATTAAACAGCTCATTCAATATGCCGGGCCAAAATGGACAATTGGATTTACAGAACAAGCAAGGTTGGTATATAGTGTCAATGTTTTCAGTTCCTATTACCTTACTATCACAAACAGTACTAATACTGTATAACCAATACTTTGCTATATAAATTGTTTCACAACAGTAACATGTGTAAATACGATAAGGTGTTGCAATTATAATTATGTTACACTCTTTTTTTTAGAGAAGATGTGATTTTGTGAATGGGAAAACAATATTGGTATTTAGACTTAAAAGAAAGGTTTTTTTCTTGCATAACATCTTGAATATGAGTAACCGTGTTTTAATTAGGAAACATTTTGTTTTTCTATATATTTTTGTATCTAGGTATTATGATGAAAACTCAGCATCTCAGGCGATTGTCATGCACTGGTTATGAGGTTTATGCTTCTGCTACACTCCACTTATCCCAGTGTCATGGTCGGGATGCGATGTTTTGTATCTAAAATAATAATCTTTTAGTTAGCTGACAACATTAAATAAAATAAAAATACACGATGCAAATCAACAATGACATATCCTGTGGTGTCCCTATTTGCTCCACTTGGGCAGTGAAGCAAGTTTACGTTATACATACGAACATTTTTGGGTTGGTTTGATGGTATATAGTGTGTCCGTATGAATAAGGAAGGCTGTTGAACATCATACGTGTGTTTATTTAGAAAGTATTTCATTTGAAACTAAAGACGATAATTGTTCCCTAGTTCCTCGGGATTGTAAACAACTTAATTAGCATATAAGTAAGGAAGTCTTCAGAGAGAAAATGGATACATTCCAAGGTAAGACAAATTAATCCTTAGCATGGTAACTACACAATAGGGAAACATTTATCTTTTATGATACTAAGACATGATATACGGAACAGCTTTTGAATCTTTACAGCGAAATATCAATTGATTTACTGTATCGTCCGATTTCGATGTAATGTTTTTTACGAGTTTGTGTATTTCCTTTGCGTTGATGTTAGCTTAACACATTCTGTACATATCACTGCCAAAACATTATGAACTTACACTGCTATGTGTGTAATCGATAGAATGTGTCTGTCACTCAGTGTCCACAACAAGGTCAACATACTGATCATCTGTCTACCTGTCAGTGGGATGATGGACACATGACCAGTCCAAAACACTGACCAGCCCTTGTTCAACTCACAAACGGCGGAATGCTAACCCAGTTTTGTTGGCTATGTTGTTTTTATATTTACATTAAAATATCAACGATTCTTATCAGTAGAAGGTTGTAAATTCCCACACTTCCTACCAGTGGGTTGGTATCAATTACTATTTAGACCAGTGTATAGCGTCATAGTTGATAGTGAGCGATATGTCTAAATATAATTCGTAGTTCTTAAAAGCAACATTAATTTTTATAATAAGAACAGTTTTCTTCTGGTTAGTAATGGTTCTTATATAAACTGATGTGTCTAACACACGCAAAGAAACTACAGTGAATATAGTCCTCGATGTGTTAAATTGTTAAGAGCTCTTTTTGCTTTAAGCAAATGTTTCAATTAGAAAGGAATTGAAACACACATTTATGTAAAGCAAAAAAGTAGAGAGCGTATATACACATTTCTATTGAAGTTTGTCACGCAGCTGAAAACCGGTAACTCCCACGTTATTTTGGGAATACCACACAGACTTTCATTTTTAGCATAATATATATGATACCTGTATTTATCCCTGAGAGAGGTGGAGAGGTCATAAAGTGATGTATTCTCTTGTAACATAAATAAATCTCACGTAGTAAGTTACACTGTTACATACAAGGAAGCTTAACATTGGTTTATTTTTACAGGTGTAAATAAACTCAATAACTTCGGTCATATCAAGATGAAATATGGCCGTGCGTATATATGTAGTACCGAGGTGATTATGTAATAGGCAAAATAGGTGAATTTTCTTTTAACTTTTGCTGTTGTATGCATTTACAATGACACATTTCAACATTTCACTTCAAGAAATGTCAATGCTGTGACGTAAGTGTTAATTTTACAGGGAATTCCCATATCGTTGATTTGGTGAGTTATTATCGATTCCATTACAAGAAATGCACGATGAGCGTCTTTGATGAAGCAAAAGACGTTTATCCTTGTGAAGAGACTCGGCCGGATTCATGAAACCATTCTCATGCTCAAGCATGTTATGTTTTGCTCTCCTTGCATCTTTAATTAATTTGAGTTTGAGTTTGAATTAAGGCTTGGTTAATATTTCGGTATATATTCTAAATACCTTATGATTTAATGAATGACGAGACTGTTATTGAGAGTATATATTGATAAGTATATAAAACTATCAGGATGTGAGATGTGAGGCCTCTGTGTACGTGAGGTCGATATTCACGTCCTCCGCGACAGGTACAGGGTGTAGAAAACCTTTAATGAACTCCTCCTGGACACCAAAGGGCGCACTACCGAGACTAATGAGTTTACACATCACTAGGTTTAACTTTATTCATGTACACAAGCTGGGATCAAAGCAAAACAAAAGTGATAGTAACCCACTTATACCTAAGTTCACAAAAATATGTAGGTAAGATTATGTAAAACATTGTAGCTGTATGTGATCACTCCAGTGTACTCCCAATGAAAGAATAAAATACCCTTTGAACCTCGGGTATCTTGAACATTGTACACTTTAATCAAGAGTTGGGGAATTCACAAAATTTAGATATCTCATCAAACACAAAGAGTTGACCAAACATTTAGCCTGGAGTCCGATTTTTCTGTAACGAATGCTTGACCGCAAGGTTAATTATCCTGTTGTGTTATCACGGACAGATTCGCCCCAAGACTAATAGACTCTGCATACAAGATTTTAATACACATCTGTCTCACAAACGGACAAACGAAAGTTAAGATGGGTTGCTTAACTTCACGATATCCAAGGTTAATAAGTGATATGTTGAGTGGTCAGTTTAGACTAGTACTTACTTATAATTAGTGTTGCCGTCAGCAGATGACATCGTGTTTTCAACGGAAATAGCCTCATCAGAAGGCAAGCTTGAACTCAATCTAACCCGCACTTTTAAAAATGACTGGTGTCACACTGTAGCTGGTTTTCTACAATAGAACGTGCAGTTTCCCAGTACTGCAGCCTCAGAAAAACAACGAAATATTAATAGCTATGATTCTAGCTGAAATTTGGAGAAACTATCAAACTGATTATCTCAGAATTTCCACTACTCTCTATGCAAATTGTCTTTGATTATTGATTGATAGTACTTCTATATAGTCTATACCAACCCAGAATAATGTAATAGAGAGAGAGAGAGAGAGAGAGAGAGAGAGAGAGAGAGAGAGAGAGAGAGAGAGAGAGAGAGAGAGAGAGAGAGAGAGCACAAATATATATTTTAGATGTTTTATTTTCATATTTATATTGAATCTGAAGACAACTAAAAGATCATTTTACAAAATGCTTGTCTAGCATTGTGTAAAAGGTGAACACAAAACTGCTTTATGTTGAACCATATGTAGAATTATTAAAACAACACAAGAATATCAAATGATTTTAAATAATTGTCACTGAATCTCAAAAGCGATGAAACTGATACATTTATTAAAAGAAAGAACACATATTCTGCTTCTTAGAAAACAGGCCACCGCAATGTTAAATGCAGAAATGGCACGTCTTTAAAAGGCTATTTAGCGAGTTTATGTCACGTTATCAGTTATATTCATAAAAGGAAGTAAAAAACTAGAGTAGTAATCTGTGTTAGCGATAAAAATGTTACTTCCCTGTAGTCATATTTAAATGGAAATTTTTCAACTGATAAAATATTAAAAGTATACAGTCTGACGCGTGCATTAATACATCAATACTCTGAGTTGAATTATTAGGAAATCTGATATAACCAAAAAAATAAAGTGTTTTTTTTAGGTAGCTTATTTAATAAACTAATTCACTTTAAGTTGAGATCGGCTAGGTATAAAACTAAATTGAAACTCAAAATCCTCGATATCGTATGAAGTACGATTAAGTATGATACACGTGGTCGTCATCTTTTAAACAGAGTATGGTTTCATTTTCACAATCACCTCCACCCGGACCCAGATTAAATGTATTTGCAACACCCGACAAAAACTACATCATAACAAAAATAAAATTAGGAGGTAGACTCAGCAGAGCTGAGATCTAATATAAGTTTTATGTGAAAAGGGTCACAAGTAATGGGATTGATTGAACGAACATCAAGAAACAAAACAATTAATCAACAACACCAGTACCTGATAGTATTAACACAAATATATAACCACAGATGTAACGCCTGGTATAATTAGTCAATACAGAGATGTCTGGATGAATCTGCAGTCTATGAAACTGGTTTCTGGACCGGAAAGATGCCTATCCTTTGTCCTTATACACATATCCCTTGTCGACAGATAATGATGCGGGAATGCTCCTTTGATGTCAATGGACCGTGACCTTTCAGAAAAGTACACTCTGTACTACTTTTAACATATAGTAGTATTTCGAGCTATGTAGTAGTGTGACAATGCTGTAAGATTTACAACGAAACTAGCAGATACATAGTTCATTTTACAACATAATTTTTACTTTTATTCTTGATAATTACAGACTTTGGTGTGAATATTGAAAAGAAAGTGTAAGACAATTTGTTTTCCTTTTCCATAGTTTGTCCCGATTCAATTTTATTCCAGTCAAATTAAAAAAATATATATAACGTTTCTAATAGTCGGTAGCATATATAAACGAGAGATGATACATAACATATTTCCTGTATGAACTATCGCCAGATGTATGTGTGTTTGTGTTTAAATAATGCATATATATATATATATATATATATATATATATATATATAATATATATACAGTATTCAAGATTCCTCGATATTGATTAAATATATTAGCACTAAATGAATGTTTAAGACCTTCGTAAATGTCAGAAATACATGTAACAATTCCAAATGATGTATTAATTTGTACATGGGAATAAAACGTAGTAAGTAGTAACCATTTCTCATCAATTTCCTTTCCTTGAGGCTGATGAATATCCGTTAGGATGTAGCTGTAACTGATGAAAAAAACAATAATATCATAATAAAATTGTGTAATTAATCTATGTCAGTTTGATCTAATTGCTTTTATTTGTGAGATTGATAGAGGTCTTAACGATCCTAAAATGCTTATTTGTCAATAAAATAGCAAGCGTCTTAAATAAAAGTAATGCTGAAGAACGATATGAACTGTAAATATCTCGTGGACAAGTTTATTTATAGCGAGATGTTTGTAACCTACAGTACTTTAATATGTGCCCTCTGTATACATGTTTTAAGTGTATAACTTTGTACATGAGTTCAGATGCATTACACATGTTACCTGAGGGAGAATTTTGATGAAGTGATCCTGTCAAAATCGACTTCCTATTCGCACAGTTTTTGTCCACACCATTCGGTGTAATCTACTACAATTTACATATTTTAGACTCATTCTAAATGACCTATATTTCTATATCCTGCAATTAAATATACAATATTGGGCGAACAATCCTCTAGGAATCAATAACGATCTGTCACGTACGAAACATACACTACGATGTGTAGCCTCTCTATAAGATATTTGTTGAAGGCCACGTGTCCTTCAACATTCCTTTGTAACAAGGACGAGAGATTGAAAGGTAATTAGCTTGCCTTGGTATGGTGCAATGCAGTCATGTTGCTTATTGATGATTCTCAAGTGTGCATCTCATATACACTAAATAAGTTATGGTGTTATTATATTTTTGCATCTTTTTTCCCCAATACCCTGTTTCAGTCGCCTCCATACATTTTAGGCCATTATCATCCTAGCGGGACGAAAATAAAAACGGATGTATAAGGCATTTTAATTGTGTTTGGCTGTTATTTATCTTATTCTAAATTTGTATTGAAAGGTGCTATTGATTTGTTTTCTTGTAATTATAGGCCTTATTAGTTTATGTGAAACTATCTGTGTGTATCAGAGTTTCTATCTTGTGTTTTTTACTAACAAAAACTACCACTAGAGGGTTATTTATACGACGTATTGAAGCAATTTCTCTTGTGGACTTCATTTTTTGATTGCGAAGTTGACGTCGTGATTCAGTTAATTGCATCAACAATTTCAACGTTTTCTAGTTGCTAAAGTATTTCTCTTATGTATAACTCTGGAAGGCTTAGGTAGATTTCACATATATGTTTAATGAATGATCACCACAAATCACAGATTTCAAATTCATGGATTCCGACTTGGTTGACCACTTTCCATGATTTTCAGGAACCGAAAACAAATCTTTCTGCTTGTTTGGTCGGAAACTGCACAGCAATCCCCGGTTTTTACTCACGAAAATTATTTTCGAAAATTTCTCTATCCAAACACAAAGTCATCACAAAGGTTATACATTAGAAGATGGCCAAAAAAAGGACTGTTTTTCAGATTTTTATTATTTGGGTGTTAGGCACTATTTACTTACTAATATCTAAGTATCGTTCTATTAACTTTTCATGAGAAACGAAAAAGTTATTTAAAAAAGATTCACACGAAATTAACGCATAAAGCCTATTACATCATTAGAAACATTTGTTTATTATGAATGACAATTAATATCAAAATCAAGATAAACTAAGCACAAAAAACCCCCATTAAGTTAATGTTACATAAAAAGTTCACGATATATATAGCACAACATTATTTATATGGTGATGCATACGAATAGTATATTTAAATGACTACGTCTGTAGAATATATGAATGGATATAGGACTAGCTTCCGGTATATCTTATCTCGAGATATCCGGGATTTCAACTATAAAATGAGTCACGGGATACTTAACAGTGGCCTATGTTATTTGTCATATACACGCTTTTTTGCCATATATGGACAGAGGTTGACTAATACCAGGATGTGTCCCGACCGATATCACGGATTTTACACTGGTCAAACGCAATTGTGTATTTCCCTTGGTGGGCCATTGCCACTAACAAACACATCAATATGTATTTTTAAAAAAGCCCGAAGCAAGGGTATGAATGAACTAGAGAGTCTCAGTAATATACGCCGGAAATGATGACGAATGAAATGAGATGCTAGTTTAGAAATATGATGACTGATTCATGTTTTGCTTAGAAATAATCAAAATGAGTCTTTCAACATAAAAAGTGTCACGAGTATAGACTTAAGTCAGGAAATATTACGGAGTTTAATTGTCTTGTTAAGTAGATAAATTGTTGTTTATACCTCGCCATTCTTTTATAATGTAACAATATATAAGACATTATTATGGCATTGACGAACAACCAAACCAACAATCAACGAGCACTTTCATATATCTATATATATACTGGAACATGTAATACTCTGACTTAAACATACCAAAGTCTTTGTTGTTATATGACCTCCTCACTGCGGGTCGAGTGACGCCTATAGCCATAACCTGACAAGTAATATATATTTTAGACGGACCTGTAAACTCACGACCTCGTTGTCTGATATCGTCATTCATATTACTGAGAAAATAGCAAAATCGGCAGGTTACGATGTCAATCAAGTGTAATTATTGCAATGTCAACTGTCAGCACCTTCTCCACCAGTTTTATGGTTGTCGTCTGCAATATACTACATGAATGCAGCGTTACGTAGCTATTTATGCTTGGTATTTGTCATTATGGTTACAATCCTGCGAGTTTGAACTGTTTCACAGATCGTCAATATAATCATTGCTTTTCATTGTCAGCGCTGTCAACAATGACTATTTTTACGATTGCGTATCAAAGCACAATGCAAGTATGCCCACTATTTAGATTATCCAATGTCAAAAGTATTTCTTTTCTTGTTATTTCTAGGAGGAAAATTATTTGGACAACTCAAAAATAGGCAAAATGAAGAACTGACAGAAATAAATCAGGTGAGAGATTTACAGAACTTTTTATTTTTTATTATCTAGTGATGCTATTCCTTACCAGCTTCTGTGGATTGTGTATATTACCATTCAGTGTTTCAGTTCACTTCTGTAAGGTATGCTTACGACAGAGTAGACGATCTGTGATATAATTCTCAGTTTTTCAGTTACGCCTTGGCAAGCATGCTCCTTTCGCAACAGTTACCAAGATAATTAAACGATTTAATTTGATACTTTCAGAGTTACCTAGAAGATGACTCGTTACAGGAAATAGAGGACTTAGCTGATAAACTGATTCAGTATAAAGGTGATTTAATACTACCACTCACTTTATTACATTAGAATGATTAATGCCCTTGAATGGCAGAAAATGAAATGAAAATCAGGGGTCTTTGTATCTTTTCTGATAAAAACCCCATTGTACTAGGAATGTCCAGCCAGTGTTGAGACACAGAAATGACTATTATTAATATTTATACATTTTAATGGCTATCACAGTGATAAGCAGTGATAAGCAGCAACATAAGTTAGTATTACAATGTGGTATGATTATTTCATTTGTGTAGCTCAGTGTTTCTCTACATATAAAAATACAAACTTAGCTAAATACATTGTAATTACCGTTCTTCATTCACTAAAATATGAATTCATTTCTAGCACGCATTTTGTAAAATCAAGTAAGATATCAAAGACGTGGAAAGAGTTCCTTTTGAACCCCCCGCCCAAAATGACTACCAGTAGGCTATAATAAGTATCATAAAGGGTTTATTTTAAGGGGTACCAAGAAAAATTGGGACATGGTCTTAAAATCAACCCTTTCAGACACTTGTATTGTATTTACCAGGTATAATAACCCATTGGTAGCCACTTTGGGAGGGGGGTTTAAAAGGAACTCTTACCAAAGACGTTTGAAAGATGTGAAATTCAAATAGACATGTCATATTGCAGTTAATAGTCAAATCGAAATCAACCTCAGAGTTATTTACATATCTTTTATTTTGTTGTCTAGTTTTGTAAAACTCTGTAATATTTACCCGTTTCACATGTAGACATACACTTCCAACAAGTTCTACGTTCTCATGGCATTCTAAAAATAACGTAACATTCTGGACTAAAGTCTTAACTTATTCATACATCCTTGCTTTCTTTTCGACATATTGACCGTGAATACCGTATTTAAATCTACAACGATGATGAAATGATTATAAACTAAATTGAATGCTTTGATAATCGTTCTTTGACAGATCAATTTATGGAGTTCGATTTGGACAACTCCGGAGATATTGGTAAGTTTTAAGGTAACTGAATATTTACGTTATCGGTTGCTAGATATCTCTTCGAAATATTTAAATCACACAGCTAATCTATTAAGGTTTTTATTCTAATGTTTCTAATTTTTTCCTGTTTAATCCGGTAATTTCATTAGAACTGTCTAGATTCTATATTCGCTGTACTAGCTTGTATGACATGCCTTTACAGTTGTCACAGAAGGGGTTGATTAAAACTATGACCATTTATGCCATGTTACCAGACATTATGGAGCTGAAACAAATGATGGAGAAACTGGGATGCGCTAAGACACATCTAGAGCTGAAGAAGATGATCGCAGAAGTGGACACGAATGGATCTGGAACCATTCATTACAGAGAGTTCCTTGATATGATGTTGGGCGGAAAGTCAACTGTCCTAAAACTGTAAGTCATCATCATTAAGAGTGGCCTCTATTTCCAGGTTTGAATAATATAATAATATTCACGTATACTGCAGTAATATGTAAACAACCCTTTTCAATGCTAAAAGCGACTTTATAATTTGGAACCTCGTCAAGTACTAGACAAAAAAGTGATTTCTAACAAAAGAAAATACAATGATACATTTAAGACGTGCACAATATTATTTTGATAATAAATATCTCGAACGCTCGACTTATCATATATCATCTCTGTTTACTGTATTATGACTCGTACTCTCGCCTTGTTACGAGTAAGGTACTTACGTACACATTGGTATGTTTTACTAGTCTAATGCTATATTTAAGTGGCACGCTTCATGTTTAAGTGTTGCGTTGGATATAACATGTTGAACGATCGTAACTATACGTCAAGCGCTCAATATAATTAATGTATAAAATAATATTATACTTGTCCTTAATGTAAGAAAACTTTATCTTAGATGTCACCGATGTTATTTTTGCGTTAGTGCAAAACTTTCTGAGAGTTAAGTCCCCTGCCACATTTAAGAACATGATGTAAAAGAAACTATAATTTCCGTCAACGATCGTGACTAGGTATTATTTAATTTGATTATACTTGTAAATAAACAAATAATTGCACAAAAGACAAACAGGTGAATAGCAATTTTCAATAGAAGAATAGAAATAGAATACCTGTTTAGCCTACTTATGAATAAAGTCTCGTTATAAGATTGTCCTTATACGGCTTGTGGATAATGTTATGTTCCAGTCTCACTCTATACGAAACATATTTTGTTTGGATGTTTCCTTAGTTCTTGATATTTCGTTTTTCTTAGTTTTATGAATAGCTTCATGAATTCAAATCCTGATATATCTAGTCATTTTACACGGGTTCTCAGAGGATATAGAATATATATCACTGATACACCAGTTAAATAGTAACATTTTTAAAGTGTATAATTTTACCAATTTAGAATACGCATTTAATGCGAATGGTTCATTAAAACTAAGCAAACGGGCTTTACTTCGTCATATTAACACATGTATATGATTGCTATACAATTGTTATACAAAATAGCAATATTGGTGTAACTTGATACCAACTGTGATTCTATCCGACCCCATATGGACATGGATCGCTAGCTATCAGGTTGTTCTGTTTCTTTTTCAGCATTCTGATGTTTGAAGAGAGGATGCGAGAGAAGGAAAAACCAACAGGACCCCCTCCCAAGCGTGATCTGAGCAGTTTGCCATGAACATGGTGTCGATCTATCGGGATAGATGAGGGTCTTCCTAGAGGAAAAAATGGAGAGTCTGAAAGTGTGTAAGGTGGTGAATGTATGATAATGAATGGGGTAATGTGGTAGGGAGAAACATATTGATCAAGCATTCTTATTTTTCATTTTCATTACTTCCATGTATACTTTGCCTTCATATTGGTGATCTAATGGTGTATATATCCATGTCATCTTAAATTTATAGTTCATTTTGCATCTTCCAGAATTGAAAGGTGCGAGGTTTGATATATTTATGTTGTTTAAAGAACATTTTGTGATCATCACGAGAAGTGAGCACGTTGACGTAACATATAGCATATATAATCCAATATCTGTATATCATATTACTGAGTTTAATCATTATCATCTCCATTACACACTGGTATCTACATTGTTTAATTCCATGTATGATATTCAATTTTGATAACGAAATAAAATGTAATTACTACTTCGATTTTATAATTTCTTCTTCTTATTTAATATCCATATGATTTTCGGGGAAACAATCAATCAGTGTATTTTCCCCCCTTTCCCGAAATTTTTTATCTTCAACCAGTTTGGAAATCTTCTAAAACTACATAGGAGTAAGCACTTCAGCAGTAGCATTGATTGTCGGTGAGAGTGTTCCTGTATACAGGTGTTATTCTCTCTGATACTTACAGGTGTGTATCATGTGTATTACACAAAATGATTTGATGAGAATTACGGCAAATGGTTGGTATTTTAGGATAATACAAAAACACCTGGATTATTTTCAAAGATTCTTTATCTTAACGACGTCCAGTTACACTATATATCAAAAGTGCTGAAGAAATGACTAAATGGTAACCACGAAATGAATGTAGACCTATATCTATCAAAACAACCCTTTGTGAGATCCCGTGTAATAGGACCAACGAGCTTATAGCTTGTCATATTAAACAAACATTTAAAAAAAAAATTAATGACAACTTTACTACCCCCCCCCCCCCGTAAAAAAGGATATATCGGAACGTGTTAGAATACGATGATGAACAAATAGTTGGTTATTTTGTTTGTGAAATATTGAGGTTAGCGTATAACCAAGATATGGTCAGTACATTACTTGAGGAATACACAGATCAGTCTAACAATGATATTGAAGGATTTCTCTTCCTACTGAACTATAGAGACTCATAAAATTTTCGATAAATTCAGCCTTGTATGTAAACAAAAAGGAAAAAATTGAACACATGAACAGTTTCTTTTCAGGGGAATATTAAATCTTTTCTGCTTAATGAACGATTTCGTATATCGATACAATAAAAAGACCTCGCTGGGAGTGATATGTTTTGCGCCCATCCATATAGTTTCGCCAAATGTAGGCAGATGAAGATTATGGAGAAGTTTTATGGTCGACATAATGATCTCATTGAGAAATATCCTATTTCCAAGTGCGATTCAAAGTTGGACGTGTTTGTTACACGTTAGTGTGTATGGTAATGTCGTTGTTGTTTATCTTGTTCTCATTTGGAAATATAAGATTACTTACTTGAATTGACCAAAATAAACGCGGCGAACGCCATCGATGCAGCAGAAGCCACTTAACCTTCACTAACACCTCATCTGTTTCTCCTTCTACTTTGTAATATGTAACTATGTATTTTTCCTTCACATTTTGCCAAGTTTCATCGAATTTGAGTTGTGTTTAATATCGGTATTTTCTTTGTCAGGTTGTCAAATCACAAATTCTGTATTTGTTAAAACTATCATCGAGATGTCACTCTAAAACAAAATTTCACAAAAAAATGTACAATTCAGAAGAATGTGTGTACTGTAGCCATTTTTTTACACTTGATGATATACCTTAAAAAGTCTTCAGTGAAAACAAGAACAAATTGTGTAGAAATATAGATATTTTATTTGCATTTAACCACGTGTAAGCTAAAAGTTGAGTCGTATAAAACACAAACATACACGCTTTTGACAATGTAATGTTCAATATTGTTTTACATTTGAGTCAGGATTTTATGAGATTTATAAATTAACTATGTGTAAAATATCATCTATAAACTATCAAACATTTACAAATACAGCACAATACGTGTTGATGACCCTCTCAGTATTGACAATACGGCTAAGTAGTAATTTGTGTATCGGATTGTAAACATAATGACATTCTTGTGTCTGTAATACAGGTGATGTCAAATAAAGCACAAATCTACACTACAAGAAATACAATTAAATACAGAACGTGAAATGTGAATAAATAAAGCTGGTCAACAGCTATGAAATTATTAAGTTATGGATTTCTACTACATATATAATATAATTCACACAGGCACGTTATAAAACAGAAGAGTAGTAACTTGTGTACATAATTGCATTCACAATACTGTTATATGATTAATGGATGGATCATTGTTACTTTTCTTGCTCGCTCTTTGTTGCTACTTATTTAAGCCAATTGATTGTCAGATCTTCGGAATAACACCATATGACAGTCACATGGGTAGCTCTGACAGTTCCCTTGGTTACACATGAGTTCACACCATTCCTTATACCCAACGACGCTTCTGTAAACACCGCGGACTTCACATTCAGCGACAAATGTTTGATCGTCTCCACATACACAGGTGTCGATGGGACAGAAACCCTTAAGACCATTGGCCATGCAGTATTCATTTACCTTATCGGCAATTGAATCTGACTTGAAGTGAAAGTGACCGTGATAGCGGCAGTTGAAGCATTTCTTCGGCTCATCTACAGGCAAAGACGTAGTAGTCGTTTTCGCAGTTGTGATTGGACTTAATGTTGTAGTTTCCTCGCTTGTGGAATCTAGGGTAGTTGTTGAAGCTTGTTCAGTTGTGGTAATGTCTTCAGTGGTAGTTAACTGTTCAGGCGTAGTCGTTTGTTCAAATGTCTGGTCGGTCGTTATTTGTCCTTCAGTTGTACTATGATCGGTTGCAGTAGCGCTTTCAGTTGTCACTTGCTGTTCTGTTGTAGTTGGTGCTGTCTCAGTTGTAGACTGGCCAACCGTAGAATCTTCAGCAGTTATGATAATGTGATCAATGGTTGTTGCTTCAGCAGATGTCGTTTTCTCAGTTGTGGAAGCAGATTCGGTTGTCCATTCGGCAGTGTTGTTAACTATTGAAAAAGAAAGGTATTGGATTTTATTGCATCATTGACAAAACAATCAACCTCTGATAGGTAAATGCATTCGATTCTGTGTTAATAATTTACATGTATCCAATATCAAGCTTAAAAAAAAGAAGAATGGTATATTGCAACATACCTGATGGAAGGGTGATTTCGTCTAATAGACAGACAAAAAACTTCCTGGTTGGTTCCATCACATTGCTGATATAATTTACGACTGATACAGCTTGTTCCCGTGAACAGTAGTTGCTTGCAGCATTAACGAAGCAGTATGAGGTAGTCTCTAGCAAACTGAAATAACATAATACATTTAATGCTATGGGTTTAATTTAAAAGCTTGGATGTGGAATTCTAACTTAATAGTTAATATAATTTCATTTCAATTGAAACGATGCGTTTATGGTTTTCATTATTCTTTAATTTTTTTTATTACTTCTTTTTTAAAATAAATATATATAAATGTTTATTACAAACCTGCAGAGGCGGTCAGATTCCATAAATAATTCAGGATTGGACGCTATTACGGACACAAGTGAACCGATTTCATAAGAAGGTTCCGTGAGGCATGTTTGTGTGCTTAGCACTACATTCGGTTCGGCAAAACACTCGGCTGCTTGCAAGAAAGCTGTAACGACATAGAAAGAATATATGACTAACATATCATTTAACCGTTTCAAAAGTCCTAATACAAGTAACAATACCATTCCATCTTCCTTAACATTCTGTACAATATCATTTAATGTTGAATTTGTGAAATGGAGAGATGACATTAAAAGTTACTTCGATTTTATCAGCAATTCCCTCCTGTTAATTGATTTATATTTAGACCCGCACAAAATGAAAATCGACATGTGTTGACATATACCTTGCTTCCCGGCGCCACAAACATAGTTGAATGTATGTCGAAGAGAGGTGTATTGCAATAAGTGGGCTCCAGTGCATCCTCTTGTTTCCTCCTCAAGACAATCTAGTTTGCCTACCGACCTTTCAAATAAAGAAGAATTGTTACATATTAAATAGTAGTTTTGTAGTGTTTTATATACAATAACTAAACTATTACAATTCATTGAAAATGAAGCAGTTTCTAGATAAAAAATGGATTTGTTTTGTTTTCAAGAGACAAAAAATGGGCAAAAGAAACATCCAGCAATATCATTTAGATCAATGAATATACTTACTTGCATAATTCCTCCAGGTCAGTAGCTGACAATTGAGGAAATACCCCTGTAGTTGATGCTTCTACCATTTGAGAGTAATAGGGAGAAGATCCTATGGAGTTGACAATGCACTCAGCAATAACTTCTTCATCACAGTTCATTTCAGGGTCTATGTGTATGCCCTCGGTCACTGAGGTTATTGGATCCATGGTTGAGGCGGTTGTTGGTTCCATGGTGGAGGTGGTCGTTGGTTCCATGGTGGAGGTGGTTGTTGGTTCCATGGTGGAGGTGGTTGTTGGTTCCATGGTGGAGATGGTCGTTGGTTCCATGGTTGAGGTGGTTGTTGGTTCCATGGTTGAGGTGGTTGTTGGTTCCATGGTTGAGGTGGTCGTTGGTTCCATGGTGGAGGTGGTTGTTGGTTCCATGGTGGAGGTGGTCGTTGGTTCCATGGTTGAGGTGGATGTTGGTTCCATGGTTGAGGTGGTTGTTGGTTCACTGGTTGAGGTGGTTGTTGGTTTCATGGTTGAGGTGGTTGTTGGTTCCATGGTTGAGGTGGTCGTTGGTTCCATGGTTGAGGTGGTTGTTGGTTCCATGGTTGAGGTGGTCTTTGGTTCCATGGTTGATGTGGTTGTTGGCTCCATGGTTGAGGTGGTCGTTGGTTCCATGGTTGAGGTGGTCGTTGGTTCCATGGTTGAGGTGGTGGTTGGTTCCATGGTTGAGGTGGTCGTTGGTTTCATGGTTGATGTGGTCGTTGGTTCCATGGTTGAGGTGGTTGTTGGTTCCATGGTTGAGGTGGTTGTTGGTTCCATGGTTGAGGTGGTTGTTGGTTCACTGGTTGAGGTGGTTGTTGGTTTCCTGGTTGAGGTGGTCATTGGTTCCATTGTTGGTTTGGTTCCATGGTTGAGGTGGTCGTTGGTTTCATGGTTGATGTGGTCGTTGGTTCCATGGTTGAGGTGGTGGTTGGTTCCATGGTTGAGGTGGTGGTTGGTTCCATGGTTGAGGTGGTGGTTGGTTCCATGGTTGAGGTGGTGGTTGGTTCCATGGTTGAGGTGGTTGTTGGTTCCATGGTTGATGTGGTCGTTGGTTCCATGGTTGAGGTGGTCGTTGGTTCCATGGTTGAGGTGGTCGTTGGTTCCATGGTTGAGGTGGTCGTTGGTTCCATGGTTGAGGTGGTCGTTGGTTTCATGGTTGATGTGGTCGTTGGTTCCATGGTTGAGGTGGTTGTTGGTTCCATGGTTGAGGTGGTTGTTGGTTCCATGGTTGAGGTGGATGTTGATTCCATGGTTGAGGTGGTTGTTGGTTCCATGGTTGAGGTGGTTGTTGGTTCTATGGTTGAGGAGGTCGTTTGTTTCATGGTTGAGGAGGTCGTTTGTTCCATGGTTGATGTGGTCGTTGGTTCCATGGTTGATGTGGTCGTTGGTTCCATGGTTGAGGTGGTTGTTGGTTCCATGGTTGAGGAGGTCGTTTGTTTCATGGTTGAGGTGGTCGTTGGTTCCATGGTTGAGGTGGTTGTTGTTGCCTCAGTATTGCTTCTAGTTGTTGACTCAGCAGATGTTTCCATAGCGATGGAAATTGTTGGTACCACATCAGGTTCAATGGCGGTTGTAGTGGTTTCGGCAAACGTAGTACCAGAAACAACTGGTGTCGTTGTTGGGACAAACTCTGGTTCAGGGTCTGTAGTCTCTGGCGTCGAATTATGAGCATTTATAATATCTGGTTCAGCAGATACATTAAATGGACTCATGGTCGCTGTTGGCACATCGGTAGGTAAAGTGTCCGTTGATTCTGTGGCTGTGGCTGTCACTGTTTCAGTGTTATCAAATATACCTAAACAAAAGGATACACTGTTGAATGATAGTTCGTATCACAATGTATCAACAATATTATGTTACGTCACACTACCGGTAAACAATTTTATGATCTTGCAAGTTGCATGTCATCATTTTATATTACAACCCTTTCTAAATTTAAAAACGTATATACATATGAAAATCGAAGGTACATGTGTAATTTCATGATCATATTTCTTTTCTCTCTTTATTTCTTTCTTGATAAGGCAATAATTTTTGAGAACATTTTGGAAATGTTAACATTGACAGGTGTTAACACCGACATACCTGTCAATGTTTGTTGAGCGTGGCAGCCGAGGAGGTCTTGTACTGGTCCTGTTAATGTCATCACGTAGGCAATCATATAATCACTGGACCGTGACCCACAATAGGCATCGGTGGAACTAGTTATGCATGACAAGGCAGTGTCCAGAAGGCTAAATAAACCAAAAAAAAGATGAAAGTTTATATACAAGCGTAAGGGAAGTTACTTGCAAATGACTGTATTTTTTATCATATAATTTGAAGGTTATATTTCAACTAAACACTGAATTAACTTATTTATGCTACCAATAATTAAACCATAATTACAACGATAGTGTTACATTAAGACGAGTTTTTTTTCGACCAACAAGACGAAAAATGGGAGCAAGTAATAAAGAACTTATATAACGGGACACTAGTCGTTCTCGGGGGCTACTTACCTGCATACTTCTAAAGTTTTAGAGCTGTCCAGCATAGTTTCAGAAATCGAGAATTCGTTTATGTTCAGACAGGATGTAGTGTCGTTGATTAAGGATGGTTCAGACAGGCACATATTGTTCTCGAAAAATTCTGAAATTTATAATTTATGTAGATATTAAAGCTTCGGAACTGTATCCTAGTCTGTCGCATTTTTCAAGCGGGTAAAAACATGTAAATAAGCTTGTAGTCTAGTGATGAGAGTGTCTGGTTAATTGATGCGGAAACATCAAAGGAAAATCTGATCCGGCAAAACCATGTTAATTCAAACTCAAGATCGATTAAACGAAGGCAATATATTGACTTTGGTATTTCAACACGGAAACTCAAGGATAAAAAGGAAAATGGATACAGCGTCTTCTGATTCAATGGCGTCGCAATCTCAACTAACCAAGTATATCAAAGTAATAAACAGAATTTGACTAATATAACGAAAAGATTTCAAATATATGAGAAAATGGTAACCTTATAAGTGAATAACTGTGTGATAAATTGGACTTACCATCCTCGGTGTTGCATACGAAATTTACGGATGACATTATCAATTCGAAAGAAAGAGCTTCCTCTCTGGAGCATCCTGCCAAGCTATTTCCAACACATTCACCAAGGTCAGTAGTTATGCTATAAAAAGTATAAGCAGTTTAATGAGAATGAGATGAAATAGTCGATGCATGTATTTAGATATCGGAATAATGTTTCAAATGAAAATCAACATACAAACGTTAATAAACACTAGAATTATTATATGAAAGTCGTTTTTAGAAAGGACATTAGAAAAAAAAGTAACATAATGATAACATTGTGTTGCTTCTATGTTTTACGGGGTTGGACTTACATCCATCTCGTGTGTATATTGTATTTTTCCTTTAAACAATTTTGATAGAAAATGAAAAGAAAGAAAACAAATTTACGTTTAGTATTCTTATATACATCATGAATATATTTATGAATTTAAATAATAAGACATTTTTCATGAACGTCACGTTAAAATAAATCACACGGTATTCATTTAAAATGAAATCAAAAACTTACTTGCAAAGTGTTCTTAACTCCTCTGACGTAACATTAGGTAATTGAAATCGTGTCGATTGATTTATAACATTTTCATACATAGGCCAACCCGTAACAGCAGATTGAATGCATGTTCCTAATAATTCCATATCACATGTTTGTCCGTAAGTTGTTACTGAAACGAAAATAAACGAGGTTAATAGAAAAATAATGTGGTGATATTTTCCACTATTGATGAACGTAGCAAATTTGTAAATAACATAAAAGTTTTACTTAATATCAACCTGATAAATGAGAAAATGTTATGGAACTAGGTATATTGTTTTGTAAATTTTCAGATATAGAGTTTATATTTTTATAAACGTTATTTATGTATTTCGAATGAAACATGAAACATTTATCTATTAATCATTTTAAACAAAATACGATCATTGAATTAAACATTTTAACTTTCTTAACTCAAGCTAAATCTTTAAAATGTGAGTGTCTGTTTGCATTAAATCATATACTTTGTAAAGTGTAAAAAAAACTTGCAACAGTCAGTAAGTAGATATATAAAGAAACTTACCTATCAGAGCAGCAAAAACAGCGAAATTCAGTATTGCCTTCATTGTCACCGTTTGTATTGTTTGTTGGCTATTCACTGTTTTAATGCACACCTGAACCTCGATTGCCTTATATACATTTTGAAATCATATTTGGGCATGGCATGTGGCATAATTAATTATTCCACAAACACCACTTAACCCACCTACGACGGTATGATGTCACAGGCTACGGTGATAGTCTTTCTAGGCACGGAACCGCCCCCTCCCTGTTTTAGGTCCAACACCTTGCTTTGTTTGTGTGATATCACGTGATGTTTGACGAGGGCACAGAAACAATGTCCTTACTGACATCCATGATCAATCATTGTTAAAAAATCTTATTGTCTATTAGGTAACATTCATAACAACAATATATACGAATTAAGATACAGATATATACACATAGGTAATGTGCTAATGGCGATACTTCATCAAAATACTTAGTTGACTGTATTAATATTCAAATCACGCATAATTGTAATTCGTCAGTATTGCTAAGAAAATAATTACAGAGCCCATATTGTTCATTTCCTAGTGAAACATATCAAAGCAATACATTACATTTGATACTAAAATACACAAGTGTAAATAACAATACATTTTTGTACTCTTATATTTGTCAACATAACAAAATAATGTATAATTATCTTTTTTTTTTAAATAAAATAATGATGAAATAGATACGTTGACAAGCATTTCATCGAATGACAGATTCTTGATCAAATAAAAAGTGACACAAAGATGAATTGACCTTCTATTGATGTCAATCAATTTCTCTTTGCGTTTCTAAAAACGTATTCTACAGCAAGGATTTTGTAGAAAGTAATCTTTATAATGATTCTGACTATAAGATGAAATAATATCAGCTGATTGACATCAATCACTAACTTTGACTCGAATGGACGAACGTTGTGTAATCGGGAAGGGAACCGTAATCGTTTTACGGTCGTTTAGGAGAAAAACATTAATGTAATATAATTAGTATGCCACCAAACATCGAATAAACACTAGTTATGATCAATGATATACAAGTTCATTTTTTCTATTATCTGAACGTCGTTGATTCCGGAATCTTGAAAGATTGATAAGATGTACGATAACAAATGGATTGTTATGAGATTGTAGAGTGTCTAAAGCGGTCAAAAGTTAAAGTATACATGATATGCTCTTCTCAGTCAATCATTTATAAACATGTATATTTCCTTTTTTGTTATTAGTAAGTATGGAAAATTTGGAAAACCATTTTATCTTCCTATATGTATTGTCATTGTATATAAACTCCAACAAGATTAATAATATATTTTTCTATATTTTATGGAATGGAAAGATACACAAGATTTTCAGGAAATATCACAGAAAGTGAAATAGTTATTCATAAAATCAACGAAGTAACCTTTTATTTATACTTTGGTTTTCATCGTGAGGTCATAATGTAATATGTAATATTCAAGTGCTTGACATCAACACTGTATGACAAGAGGATATTTGTATACCAAGTTAGCACTTATTTTCCCGTCAATCATGTATTGTGTTTATTGTGAGGGCAGTCCTCATATGACCTTGTAGGGGGACGTAAAACCTCAGACAGGTTTTTGAGAGTGCGATCCTCTTATGACCTTGTAGAGGGACGTAAAACCTCAGACAGGCTATTGAGAGTGAGATTCTCTTATGACCTTGTAGAGGGACGTAAATCCTCAGACAGGCTTTTGAGAGTGAGATCCTCTTATGACCTTGTAGAGGGACGTAAAACCTCAGACAGGCTTTTGAGAGTGAGATTCTCTTATGACCTTGTAGAGGGACGTAAAACCTCAGACAGGCTTTTGAGAGTGAGATTCTCTTATGACCTTGTAGAGGGACGTAAATCCTCAGACAGGCTTTTGAGAGTTAGATCCTCTTATGACCTTGTAGAGGGACGTAAAACCTCGGTCAGGCTTTTGAGAGTGAGGTCCTCTTATGACCTTGTAAAGGGGGCGTAAAACCTCAGACAGGATTTTGAGAGGGCGGTCCTCATATGACCTTGTAGAGGGGACGTAAAACCTCAGACAAGTTATTGTGAGGGCGGTCCCAATATGACATTGTAGAGGGACGTAAAAACCTCAGTGAGGTTATTGAGAGGGTGGTCCTCATATGACCCTGTAGTGGGGACGTGTAACACCAGACAATCTTTTGAGGGGGCATCCTATTTGACCTTGTCGTGGGGCTGCAAATCCTCAGACAGGTTATTGCGAAGGCTATAAAACTTCGAATAAGAACCATAATATTGATTCCAGCATCTTTAATCTATCCTGCAAGTAAAGCAATCGGCAAAAGAATCAAACAATTAACTTTTATCATAATGATTTAATGTCCTGTTTTTAAAAACCACCACAACCAAAATGTACGTGATTTTCTCATGAAAAAAGTATGTTTACCCGATTGGTAATGATATAGGTAAATCTTGTGGTGTGCTCTTCGGTTTGGTGACGTCCTGAACGCATTCGATACAAATCTTATCACACTCCTTAATTTTTTTACACATGTAAACTATACATGTAAATATGTTGTTGTTGCAATTAACGATGGCCAATCCATGACATTAAAAACGCAATCAGAAATATGAAGAGATGAGAATGTGTTTAACTTAAAGACAGTACAAAGAGATGGTAGACATTTCACTTGATTAATTCTTAATCACCTGTAGTTCTGGAGAGAAAATGTAATTTGTTATAAAACATAATGACAGATTTTTATATATTACAACCACAGAGAAAAAAGTTCGATATTTCGATGACTTCACCGTCCTTTTATATCAGCAGAATGACCAGTGTAGGGTCAATGTGGCATATACTCCACTGCACATACACGTTATTAGTCATTTTTCTGATGAATGTGACAAGATAGTCATCGAAACGTCACACACAAATCTTCCAACTGGTTGCGCTTATGTAAGTATGGCCAAAAGAAGTGTTCAACAGGAAAATTAGGATAAAGACATTTTCATTTGATAATAGATGACTTCGCCCTCACCCCCTACCAATCTGACTGAACCCCTATATTCCTGTAGGGGGTCACTAGCAAACTACATAACTAATAATATATTCTAATTACCGATAGCTCCTCTAATTATATATGACATCAATGTTTAATTGTGCTGTGCCGTTCATTTAAAGTACAATACAATTCAAAGGTGAAAAAATGTTTATCTTGAAATTTTTGAAAGAAATATTACATAGAGATTGTACCGAAGCGAATGCTATCTTTCGAAAATTTTATTATTCACCTGTTGAATAAACACAAGACTGCGTCAACGTAAGACAAGCCATAAACGACAGTCTCGTCATCAATTTTTCTTACGATGACCTAATTTTGGCGACTACAGACTGCATTGTCGTGTTTCACCTACACCAGGCAGACAACAGATGCTACAAACCATGACTTACGTCACGTTAACGTCCAGAATGCTTCAGCCAATAAATAAACGGCAAGGAATAAACAAACCTAAGTATGTGGTACAAACGTTAAAAAAATGCAGACGTAGCAATGACCAGGTATTTAATAACTACATATGTTAATGGTACACAGTATGATATACAGTTAATATCATGGGATCTGTCTGGTAATTTAAAATACATGTACCACGCAGAAAAAGAGGAAGAAAGAAACATTTTTCATTGAAGTGTCGTCATCGTAAGATATAGGATTTACCTGGTATAATTACCTGATGCCTGGGTACATGTCACTGGTTCACTAACATTTAATACGATTACATTTTCTTTCCAATTCAAAAGTTTATCATTATTTATTATCGAAAAAAAAAAACATTTTTGTAGAAGACATAATTATGTTCGTCTTCATGAATAATTGTAAATACATGTTCTCTAAACGTACAGTACACTGTATGTGGTTTTTTTGTACACGGACTTCCGTAGATATTTGTACCACCTCTGTGTCTCTGTAACTGTTGTCATTATTGAATGACTATAAAAACCTTCAAGGCAATTTTGCTGTAACGAATTATATACACAGACTTAATTGCTGTTCGTGTATTTGCCGTCACCTTCCCATTGATTTTTTTATTTCGACAAATTTCGATTTTTCACTGTCGTTTTTTTTTATTTCATTAATTCATTATATGGCTCTGTTGTATCTAAGTTTTGCTTTGAATGAAGAAGGCGCTAATTTTATATACGTCTTTTGTATAATTTCCAATCTATTTATTTATAAAACATTGCACCTGTGAGGTAATTCAAAATTCCAACTTGAAGAAATTTGTTTTTATCAGTATACAGTTTGAATGGAAGTTTTCACTTAACTATTTAAAGAAAGAAATATTACACATAGTTAAATGCCATTCGTACAAACCCTATCAGGAAATTCATACCAAAAATGAAACATTGTAAAATATTTAATTTTAATGAATTAATCGTTTTAATTATACTATATCACCGTGTCTCTTGAAACAGTCAGGCCTTTATAGAAACAGGTTTTACCTATTTACTCATTGTGGTTTCAACGAGGGGTGAAGTTGGGGAATTCCTATGAGTCAGCTTGACTAAATCCTTAAACACAATATTCAGTAAGATATTAAAACCACATACAGAGAAAGGACGACCGTTTATTTCCATGTTTTTAGAAAGAGCACTTCACTTTATTCGAGGACCAGTATGACTATCACTAATTTCCATCTCTTTGCTTGCTCGTTGTCACTATGTAAAAATTGTGTTAAGTGCTTATCTCACGATGTCATGGTTGTGGACTTTTCAGTGGTACAACTTCGAGCGACCCTCGAGTCACCCCAACTGACATGAACATTGCATACATCTATATCACGTTTTCTAATTGTATATGTAGAAGTGCAATGAATATTGAATGAATCGCTTCTTTTATAAGATGTTATATAGGAAAATTAATTAAGGGAAAATTAATCAAGTATCTTTTTTATAATTGTATTTTAGAGTATTGGTAGACTAAGTGCTCGCCTTCATTTATTACAAAAGTTTTTTTTATCGTTTCTAAAAGTTTCTCTAAATAAATGGTAAGAAATTTTCTTTTCTTATGATTGGCTTTCGAAAACAGAGAAAATTGTAGAAAAAAAAATCAATAACAAGAATCAGTCATGGATGGTTTTGGTGAATAAAATCGTAAATTATGTATTCCTAATAAAAAAAAGTTTCACGGCATATCAATAAACGTTGTTCGTACGTTGCTTACACAGAATAAACGTCTCAAATTTGACGAAAACTTTCCAGATTGTGATTTTGCCTTTTATTGTATAAACCCGTAACTTGAAAATATAAAAATAATATATTACTGCATGTATCACCTCATCAACGTGCCGTTGTTTTACGTATACAACATTAAATCAGTTAATCACCAAAAGTATTGTTTCTCTCTGCCTAAACTGGTTATAAGGATGATATACTTCTTAGTAATATATCCTAGATAGATGTGTCACAAATAGGTGCGGACATGTGAAATGCGTGTCATTATACTTACATAAGATCTACACTTTATTAATTATTTTTTTAACTATTCTTCGCTAGTATGGCCCAGTGAGTTATCTCAGTATTACTCAAATATTGTTACACTAAATACATAATGATTTAGTCAACATAGCTATGTAGCTATTTCCTTTTTCAACCATTACAAAATCTACTGCCATCACTACCGTTCTCTGGGGCAATAGTTTTTTTTAACTAGAAAGGACTTAATGCCATACACAGAAATTTTAAAAGATTCATGGTCAGCTATCCAAGATATCATCAAAGTATTTATTGGATTAGCTTAATGATGACAAGAATACAAAAATGCAACGATCGTATTTGTATCGTGATTGTGACGTATGTGAATAATTACAATTCTAATCGGGAGTGAAGGGAATGATTATGTCAGATACCACATACTCGATGTTACTAATTCTTTCATTAATTTGACAGACTGTTAGCTTATCTATACAGTTTATTTTTCCACGTGGTACACTCCTCCACTTAGGATACGCTAAGCGTGGTGAAATTTTAAGTATAACATTTGGCGATGTGAACTATTCTGCTGCTACAGCTATGAAGCACATTCAAATAATTAGTTTATTTCTGAACCAGCATCAGTCAAACCAATTTCCTCATGATGAAGACAATGAAGAACTTGTTTAAAGTCTATTGTTTCTCTGTTGTTTCATCTCCACACACCACCCTACAGAGAATCTGGTGATGGAAGAAAGGATGGGGTTGGGGACGGATGACTTGCAGAACTATAGAATGTAGGTCGCAGCGACATTCATTTCGGCAACTTTGTATGTTTAGCAGTTCGAACAGACAAGGCGAAAATTAAAAAAAAAAAACCTAATGCACTAACCGTTTTACTGTTAATTAGTTCGAGGGTCAGATAGTATAACACATGGCGGAACAGGGGTTTGGAAGACGACACTATTAGTTATTGGTACAGTTACTGAAAGTTGTAGTCTAATCTACGGTGACATTTTAAATGATAATACATTAAACTTCACTGAATGACAAACAGCTGACTAACTATATAAGATTTATGTAGTCTTCGTCTAAATCCTGTATCTGTTAATTGTACTGATGTACAAAACATGATCCCGTGTATTGAATCCGTAAAAGCATTGTCACTGGGAATATATAACTACTAAATTAACAAATACATTATTACTAAAGAAACACGTAGATACAGCAGAAATTTTACTACCTATAGGTAGTGAGCTGTATTTCATGGCTAATGAGTTATATTTTCATGACAAGGTGACCTTGCCGCAGCATCGTTGGTTTGTATCCGAATACTACATTTTTAAGAAGCATTGTAAGCATGGTGATGTGTTTTGTATCGGTTATATGAAATATGATTACTATATACATGCATTTTTCTGATGTCTAATTTGATAAATGATTGAATTAATCTGTGAATTATGACCTTGTAGGTACTTGTCCACCGACAGGCTGTGGAGATGCCTCTAATAACACTCTTTTAAGGAGGCTCCAACATTTCAAAGTGAAACTACTAAAACTGTCCTAGACTTAGACCAGTATAAATACCGAATGACACAAGCTACGATAAGGACGTTCATAGTCAGAAAAAATGACAAGCCATTTCACTTGTGTAGCTAAGAAGGGGAGACTACCCTCACAGAGTTGAGATCTAGAACAATAAGACTACGTGACCTGACGGCGGTAAGACAGTTATATACGAACGTAGAAGAATGTCTTCTTCGAGGTAGTTGAAGTAGGCTGATATAATCCTATCTTCATATGTTTTGGTGACATCGGACACACTATATGACAGATACAATAGAAGTATACGGGAAATTACTCTTCATGTGATTGTCATTTTTTTTTTTAAATTGAATGATTTACAAAGTATGTCTTCATATCTACCTTGCACAAAAACCTGCACTAGAACTTATTTTTATTTGCATCAATAATATGTTTAAACTGTTACTTAATTCTATATTATCCTGACGTTTCCCGAGGAGCCGAGAAGTTTAACATTGGACACCTGGAATAGAAACTGCTATTACAAAACTGTAAAACAAGACTTGCGAACTCATTAGTGTTATATGTATACATAGAATAATAATTAGTATCTTTTCTTTTCTGAATATGCCAATTTGTGGATGAGATGCGGTAATTCCAAGTATGATCATAAAAAAGTCAACAACGTTGTTTCATGTATGTTGCTATAATATTTGTCAATTCTTTATCACTGAGTTAATATAATGGATTATACACACATGTTTAACACTTATCACACAACTCTCAATATACTAATAACCGGGTATAGTTGTTTAAACTTCACGGGGCTGACATTTAAAGCTTTTGGAATATCGCGCATATCTATACCTTTGTATTCAAGGTGTATAACTTATCACTTACATTTTCCCTTAGGTTATAAACATTTTCATGAACATAGAAAATGAACCCAAGGTCACCCGTACATAAAAGGTCTGTTAGTCCGTCATTGTAAAAAATCCTATCATGTGTGCATGTGTTCACTTACATATTAATGATTTGCAGACATTTTACTGGAACATTTCTAGAAAAGATATTTAAAAAAAAACAAGTGTAAGGAATAGATAGACTTCCAGGAGACTTCCAACCACCTAATTAAAAAAGAATTATTTTATATCTACCCATACACTCGAAATATGTATTTACCCCCATCCCCACTGAACTCCACGGATAACGATTGACTAATGCCTGTGTAGGTTTGATGTATATGGTGTGGTAGTGATGATATGATAGTCATATACATATGCTATACCATGCTAATCAATATATTGATTATTAAAAATGAATTATTAAAAATTAAGATAACTAATTGATCTCATTATCATTACAGTTTTAAATACCATTAAGCTACAATGGAAATCCTAGTTTAACCGACTTCCACCATAACGCGTGGTCATTTAACAAGTGTGTTTCACACCCACTTGTTTGACCGCGACTTTTCGCCACAGAGAGGCCACGCCAGTGCAATCTTATCTGATAGCTTTGAGGTCTTGCCATGTGAAGGCTGACAGTGGAATATCATTCATCTAAAGGAAGGATGTACAGTCAGTTGTTGCTAATATGTGGGGTTTTCGCTTTTTCTGGTAATTCTGATTATGGTGTCTGGTTTTTTTTTCGTGTGTAATATTTTCAAATTGTGACAAGTGTGTAACATAATATTTACTGTTAAATCAGACGGGCAAATGGTATGCACGATTGAAATAGCATTGTAACAATGAAATTGTTAGAAAGGTAATGATATTCACGATTGAGATAGATTGTTACCATGGAAACTCATACGATTAGACTGGTAAATGATATTCACGATTGAGATAGATTGTTACCATGGAAACTCATACGATTAGACTGGTAAATGATATTCACGATTGAGATAGATTGTTACCATGGAAACTCATACGATTAGGTTGGAAATGGTATTCTGAAATAGCATTGTCACCATATTAAAGCCATTCTACTAGCTGTATTTTTCTTAGCAAAATCAATGCACAAATTATAAAATCATTAGAGATATGTAATCATCATGTAATTAACTGTAATTCACGACATAGCGACTGAGATAAATCTGTTATACAGAGGGAGTAGACCTGTCTTCACCCGAGGTGTTCGACGCTCAGTTCTACCTCAACAATTACCCCGATCTTCACATCAGGCATACATCAGAGGCGGCTAAAGCTCACTGGCTGTCAACCGGTATAGCACAGGGGAGACAGGGATGTGGCAGTTTTCACTCAAAGCAGTATGTCACCAGGTAAATTAATGTTGTTCATTCCCAACTGACCATTTCAATTTCAGGATTGTCAAATTAATCTTTCTAGAAAAATGACTTTTTTCAGTTTTTACTCATTACCACGTTTTGATATGAACTTTACTCAGATTTTACTAAAATGTCTATGTGTTATATTCTTCAACACTTGATAAAGAATGGACGATTTGATCTATCTGTGATATGTATGTGAAAATGGCGATTCCTTTCCACAAATACCACAGAGATTTTACCTTCTCAATCAAGGTATTGTAAGGGACAACCTCATCTACGTGTTTAATGGTGACACAGGGAACCATTTGAATGTTTTAGGTACAAGGTAGACCCGTGTGAGAAACTTACCTTGCATTGAAAATCCATTAATTTTCACGCGGTCATCTTTGTCACGGTACCACTTCAATTATGGACTATGTGTCATATTTTGCAAGGATATTGCTAGTGCGTGTTTCTGACTAGCGGAACTTCTTTGTTTAAATAAACACTCATTCATGGTATCATCATCAAATTAAACTTAGATTGGAACCGTTGTATAGACAACCTAAAGGCAAGATAATCAGGATGAAAGTCAACCCATTTAAAAGTCAAAATCGCGAAACTAATATTAATAGGAACAAAAGTTATTGTGACTATAAATACTAATCATTTATATATGTTCTAAATGATAACAGCTGCTTAATCACATTTATTTGTTTGAAAATAAAAAAAAAATGTTTTTCACGGAGTTATACTATTCACAAATATGCGTTTCAGATACCCTGATTTGACCAGCGCTTTCCACACAGACTACACCTCGGTTATACAGCACTACCTAACAAACGGTATCCATGAACATCGACTCGGCTACATCGACGGCGGATACGAGGGAAGATGGACAATTTCAAATGGCAAAGACCTGTTCATCAGCGCTTCCAAACGCATGGGTGGAGCTATAGACAGTCTGGTTTGGAATAACAAACAAATGATAAACATGTATGACCATGGCCGGGAACTACAAATGGCTTGTAATTCTGATACGTATACGGAGTGTTATAACCCTACAGAAGCTGGAGGAAGGGACGATAGCAACCATGCAACAACGCACACACAGATTCAGTGGGTGAGGGCTCACAGTAACCTCTTAGAATCCGAGGTAAGGCCAGCTTAAAACACTTACATACACGTCCAACATTGATATTTTCTTTACCTTTTATTTTACTTACCTCTGGAAACGGCTAGATTCTGTACCTTTTGCGGTTCGTATATCTAAAAAAGTCTGTTGTTGTTTCAATTTCATTTAATTATTTTAGGTACACCCTGCCTTTTGGTTGCGACCAGGAACACACGAGAAAAGAGCAGTGCATAACAGTTGCAGCAGAGGAAGTCCATCTTTGACTCATCAGTCCACCTACTCTTATCCATTCTGGAAGCGCGTGGAAATCGGTGTTCATGGAATGCCAAATGCCGTGGAGTTTATGTCCAATTTCACCCTAGCCGGGGACTGGCCTCAAGACTTACGATATATTCAGATGGAAGCACCGACAGGTTACATGCCTGGTGAGTTTACCACTGCTTATAGATTTAATCCTAAAACATTATCTCTTGAGAGTCACGGATCGAGTTTGGAACCCCCTGTTCTTTCCACACAAGACGGACAGTATGCTATGGGAGTGTACTCACCACCCGGCCAAGACAGCGACACGTTTATGTACTATGGCGTATCTTTACGACTTGGAGGGACATCATTTACCGGAAGTACAAACAAATGGAACGTCGTCTATCGGAAGAGAAGGTTCACTTCCGGCGTGCATCATCAGATATATAAAACCTATATTTGTGTAGGAACACTCAACATGGTAACGACTTGTCTTCATAAGCTGATCCAAGAGATCCCGCATGTGTAAATACTGTAAAAACAATAAAATAGTGTATACATAATCATGATAGGTCTTTGAGAAGTTTCCTTCTGCAATTTTTCATCTCAAATCAACTAAATCAGTTTTTCATATTTTAGAATACAGAAGCGTAGTACTATTATTCAAGCATATTCAAACATGTGTATTTTGTAAATCCTTTACGGTCAGCCAAAGTAGAAATTGTCATTTACGTTAATTTTCGATGAAATATCGTAAATCTTTCATAATTCTACCACAAATATAAACAATGGATCTCAGTAGTTTACTAATTTGCATCAGGTAGTTTCGTCGACATTATATTAATATATTGTAGCATATGATAAATTAAAGTACTGAAAGTACTGAGAGGCTAAACGTATTGAAAAATGTTCACAAATAACCGCTAAGCTATATTACTTTCCCCATACTCCTACACTTTGGAATGCAAAAATTACTAAAATAAGAGAACCAGAGGCTATTTTTTTTAATTTTAAGCGATTTTATATCTTCTTTAATCCTTATTTTAAATCTGACGACAATAATGTGAACAAATCAAAAAAGGTAAAAAAAATAACAAAATAAACACAACCATATATTCATCGCCAACAAGCCAAATGATAAATAGCTCTACGATGAAGTTGACTAAATAAAACCTTTGAAATCCCCAAGATGTTGCAATTACTATCCTATCAATATGAGGATTTAGACAAATCGAAAGGACTTTATACCTACTTCTCTATTTTAAATCTATTGCAAGGTAATAGTCCTTACTTATTGTAATTAAATTTGTAGTTGAAGAAAGTAGATAAGGTGTACACAGCATTTCAGATAGATAAAAGTGTAAATAATTACATTAAATTTATTTGCATGCGTATCTTCCTTGAAGTATCATGGTTAGATTTTTATTCCAGTAATTATATCTATAAAGACATAGTTCTATGAGATTAAACTAGACTTCCATATATATACAAAATTTACAATATTTTCACTATAGCTACTACTATTTCTGATCCCCAATGCATTAGATAATGTCACCATAACACGCAAAATGAATAAATATGTTATGGAAATATTTCGTTCTTGTTAATTGATAATTATAAACATGAATATTTTGTTTTTTTATACGCGTTTTGTTTGAAGGAATATTTTCATTTCAAGGAACTTTGATACACATTAACAAACCTTGAGAAATCAGCACAATCAACCTTCATCAAATAAAACTAAAAGTCAAAAATTACAAGTTATAACAGAGTCAACATCATGATCAGTACAGTATTAAAAATATATTATTCATAAATCATGAGCACCAATTGTACCTTGCTTACGAAGCGCAAACTTTTTATCTTCAAAAACTTGAAAAAGTGTCATGGCGGTGGGTGTGAAAAACCTGAAAAAGTGTCATATCGGCGGGTATGCGCGTGGCACGAACAGTCCAATTTTGTGACGTAAATGAGGTAAAATGATGTTATATATTAAGACGATCTTGCCACAACGACAAGGATTAAAGCAAAATTGATGTTCTGTTTGTAAGTTTGTTTGTTTATAAGTGCTGTTAGTTAATAATTCAAACCAAGCCCCCAGACTAGCTTCTTATCATGGCGCCAACTCGCACGTAGTGTTCTGTACGCTTACGTCATGTCGAGAAGGATTCATAAGCCGTCATACAGTAAATACATTGTAAATCAAGTCATGCAGTTGCAATAAACTTTGAAGATACAAAAAAACCATTTTTTTCTTACTTACGGCAGAGACGTATCTCTGCTTACGGTTAATATGGTTGTTTTCTAGGAATATTCACAGCAGGCGATAAGAATCACGTCAGCTCGATCTTCTTCAGCAGCACAGGTCGGGGATGTCCGTGAGTAAATTCCGTAAAATCTAATGTTCAAAATTTATCAATAGTTCAACCACACTGTGCTTCCTTTTTTTTTTTTAAATATATAGTAATCGTATTGTTCTTAAAAAATAAACTTATTGTGGATGCTTTTAAAATAGCGATTTAAAAGATCGCGGCATTATTTACGCAGAAAATTGCCGCTAGAGGGCTCTAATTCTTTTCGATATTTCAGCCAATGAGAAGGCCAGGATCGGTAAATTTTGTCTGAAAGGCCGTCGCAATAGGCTGTACGTATTGAGTACGTCAAGCCTAAAAAGACTACCCTAATGTTACAAAAAAGACATAATAATGACATATATTTTAACATCGATACGGCTGAATATTTATCAGAAAAACATATTAATTCCATTGCGATCTAGCGGTGACATACAATAAGCAACAATTAGAGGTCGGGTTGCGTCGTGGTAACGCACTCGCCTTTCACATAGGCGTCCGGGATTCGATCTGAAAAAATATGGAGTTACTACCCGACCACGTGGGTTTTTCCCGGGTACTCCGGTTTCCTCCCAAAGTGAGACTCATTACGCGCTTCAATCAGGGTCAACAAGAGTGAGTAATATGAGACTAAAGCTTGATTTGCAATTGGTGTAAAATAGATCAAGTATGGGCAACAAGGTAGTTAAATTGTCGCGCAAACTAAACGCAGTTACCTCCCTTCAATTACTATAAACGGATGACACACAACTAATATTTCTGTTACTTTTAAACGTTTTGTACTGGAGTCATTGGCTGGAATACAAGTTAATTGTAAGGACAGTGTGTACACGAATGGGACCGATTTAAAGTTTATTATGCAATTTCACTGCTTTGTCATGTTGCTAGCACCTTTGGGACACATCCATTTTGGGATGTTACATTTCCTTGTGTATCCTCTTGAATGTTGAACGTCATGAATTGTGAGAGATCCGCTATAATACTCATGTAGGTATTCCAGAAAACTGTCAGAAAATATTAGGGGATTTCTCCTATACCTCATTTTCTTTGTTACGGTCTTGTGGCCTATCCATCATTACCAGCAATTTTGCCTGTTTAAGGGAGATAACTCGTGCTGCACCTTAAATCCCAATCGGGTTCAAGCCGGGATAATCATGTTACCTGTACATTCTATATATAGGACCAAAGTCAGACTGTGATATACATACTTGACCTTTTATTTCTTAAGACCTATGGTATCACATCTGTAATATTAATTTAATTCCTACTCCTGTTGTATATCTCATGTTAACTACGTCGTGTTATATACATTTGTTCGACATCATTATATTTCATGTATAAGATCTGAGGTTACAATAAAAGAAATTGAAACTGATACTGAAAAGCGAATATTCCAACCGAGACATTTACATACCTGTATTTTATCAGGGACGTATATATAGATATATAAGTGCCTGACTTTATCTAAATGTTGTGAATAGTTGGTATGAATAAATAAATATATCCATGAATACGTAAATCTACTCATGCTTCATAATTTAAATATGGAAGGTATAGAATCTCACATAGAGAACGTACATTTTGTAAAGAATGTAACTCCTCTGAAGTTGAGGACGAATATAAATATATATATAAATGATTTTTGACAAAAGAAGAAAGACGTTACATTTTGCACTAGCGCTGTCATGTATTTAAAATGTAACGTCTTTCTTCTTTTGTCAAAAATCATTTTTATTTATAATTTACTCGCATCTCGTCAAATCAAGTTTTTTCTATATATATATATATATATTGATTTGTTGTGAATTTAAAAACCTGAGATCTCGTTTCATCAAACGATACTATTGGAAAAACCCATCTATGATCATAGCTTAGTGTCCACAATATTAAACAAACAAGCCAAAATTACCAAAATAAAATTACTGTCTCCATCCATAACTAAATATGATGTATTGCATAGTGGTTAAGTGTTGAATAAAACTTACAAATATTTCAAAACATTTTCGGAAAAAAAACCCGGACGTACATTATAACCATTCAAACTCAAACCTCGGTATCTCTTTGACCGACGGTTATTGACCGGGAACTGTTGACATCACTGATATCGACTGCGAAAAGCATATATACCTGTTTAGTTATGGCTGAAAATCCAAATTTTATCTTTCCTTTTTGTTATTTAAAAAATTTGATCTCTTGGGATCTATTGATATTAATTGAAGAGCCTCCATGAAAGGTGAAAGTACTAGAGGAATCTTCTCTCGAAAATTTAGTTTTATTATTTAATAACCGCACAGGGATTTCAGAATTTTATATATGAGCACAAATAACAGAAAAAACCGACAGAGATAACGTAGATTTTAGGAACAGCAGGATTAATAGGACAGAGAAAACGTAGATTTTAGGAACAGCAGGACTAATAGGACAGAGAAAACGTAGATTTTAGGAACAGCAGGACTAATAGGACAGAGAAAACATAGATTTTAGGAACAGCAGGACTAATAGGACAGAGAAAACGTAGATCTTAGGAACAACAGGACTAATAGGACAGAGAAAACGTAGATCTTAGGAACAGCAGGACTAATAGGACAGAAAAAACATAGATTATACGAACAGCAGGACCAATAGGACAGAGAAAACATAGATTTAAGGAACAGCAGGACTAATAGGACAGAGAAAACGTAGATTATAGGAACAGCAGGACTAATAGGACAGAGAAAACGTAGATCTTAGGAACAGCAGGACTAATAGGACAGAAAAAAACATAGATTTTGGGAACAGCAGGATTAATAGGACAGAGAAAACGTAGATTTTAGGAACAGCAAAACCAATAGGACAGAGAAAATGTAGATTTAAGGAACAACAGGACTAATAGGACAGAGAAAACGTAGATTTAAGGAACAACAGGACTAATAGGACAGAGAAAACGTAGATTATAGGAACAGCAGGACTAATAGGACAGAGAAAACATAGATTTTAGGAACAGCAGGACTAATAGGACAGAGAAAACGTAGATTATAAGAAAAGCAGGATTAATAGGACAGAGAAAACGTAGATTATAGGAACAGCAGGACTAATAGGACAGAGAAAACGTAGATTTTAGGAACAGCAGGACTAATAGGACAGAGAAAACATAGATTTTAGGAACAGCAGGACTAATAGGACAGAGAAAACGTAGATT